CCCGTGTCATAATATATTATTAATGTGTTGACTTAATTAAGTAAAAATGACCTACCTACTCGCATTAACTCGACGTGATGCGATGAAAATGTATGTATTTGTAACCATAATGCACACAAGTGTAACTCACTCTTGGACAATTTTTATAATCTTTTTTTTTTCTTTCTAGATATTCACACTTAACGAACTGCCACTTGCCTAAAATGGTACCTGTATGTAAAGAAAACTACCAGAGGAAGTAATCGAAGACGGTGTATTGAGCGACATTTTTTATTTCAGTTTTCTCAATGCTGGATTGTATTCACATATTATGATAGTGTATGTCAAGTTGTACTTGTATCTTTAATGTAAATAAATAAATAATAAACATTATATTAGTTTTTCACTTAATTACATACATCCCAGTGCGATGGAGCAGTTCGTCGAAATTTTCCTGTAATTCTTGTCTTACCAGAACATTACAACGTAATGAGTGGGTGGTATGCGGACAAAAGGATGACCTTTGCCCGTACTTACATAGTCATCTCAAAATAGGTTGGGCTTTCCATCTGTTTCCTCGTCAAACTAAAGAGACATAAAAGCTTTTCCTTTTAAAAGTACAGCTTTTATTTTAGTTCGTCACCGAACGACGATGGTGTTCGTAAATTGTATTTTTGAGCGAACGAGCGATATTCTAGGACAGTGTGTTTTTCAACCTTTTTCATGACACGAACCCCAAGTATGAAAAAATATTTTGCGACCCTCCCGACCACCGGCTTCTTTTTCATGTATTTTATAATATTACAATGATGTTGTAGGGACCGAATACTTCAATCTATGCAGCATTTTATTTATTTATTTATTTAAAGACTTTATTGCTCACACATAAGAATTTTCCGTACAAAAACTTTAACAACAAACATTTACGCATTTGCATAATTATATTTCGGGTAAATCTATCTTTAAAACTTTACCGTTTTTTTTACTGAGGTAGTTTTTACGACTTGTCGCGACCCCCTAGAGAGGCTTCGCGACCCCCCAGGTTGAAAAACACTGTTCTAGGAGATACTGAAGTAAAAACTTCAAAATGTGATCAAACAATAGTTACTTAAAGAAATAAAAACATTCTGACCTTTTTTCACTCAGGTAAATAAATAAGTATTATGGTGGTATTATCCCGTACATTGCATTACTTTCATGATCTCTGTTTGAAATGAAAGTTTTAAACTGAACTTTGAGTCAGACCCATCTAACGTTGTAATTTTCGAAGTAAAAGAACACTGTGCCTCCGCGATAGGAACTCCGTGTGAGTGAACTGTGGAGGTAAAATTTAACAACCTGTAAACCCTCTTGCAAATTAAATATTGGTCACAAACAAACTACAGCTTGATCCTTCTTCGTGAGACTTACCTAAGTGTTTTGGATTATGAACAAATGTTTGCGAATAATTAATTCGTTACAAAATTCGAGGGTGGGTAGGAAATACTTATTTTTTATGAAGATAATGCCCACTCTCAATAAATCTTGGGAAGACTAAGAGCTAAAGGTTGTTGCTATGAATTAATTTGATAATCTCAACAGTCTAATTATGTAATTTTACATTTTATGTGGTTTTTATTATAGTAAAATCGTCTGTTTCTAGTTTTCTTACAGGTCTGGTTTTTATTTAACTAATAGATCATAGACCACTTCCCCTCAGTTGCAGCGTTTTCAACACCTCCCCAATGTTAAAAACTCTTATTGTAAAATCCAAAATAACCAAATCGAATGTAAAAAACACAGGATACAAGAACGCGGCACAACTTCCGCGCACATACGTACGCGTCGCCGGCCTTCTGCGACCACTGTGGCTCTCTGCTGTACGGGCTCATCCACCAGGGCCTGAAATGTCAAGGTACACCGACGACGCTCGCTCCGCTCCGCTCAGCTCTGAACGCTTCGCTTGGACTTCTAACGCTTTCCGTGTGCTCTTTTTAGCTCTACAGACTTTGGTGGTGGTTTTATGCTAATGTTTTTTTCTTTTGACTTGTAGAATGCGGCATTTTACTAACTTCTTTTTCCTCCCCTTTCGTAACCACATTGCAACCGCAACTGTGGCGTACCATTAAGTGTTATTAATACTTATTTGTTGTTAATAAGGCCGCCTACGCCCCGCACAAATGGAACACGTGGACATTCCTAGCGCCTACGTTTTGTGACCATTGTGGCACGTTGCTCCACGGTCTGGCGCATCAAGGATTTAAATGCGGAGGTACACATTAGATGGATGGTTTTGTGGGCCGAGGAAGATAGTTCCTGGGGCAATCCCTTAGAAGAACCGAACATGCTTGACAACACTATTGTGGTTCACACGTGGATTAGACACGAGAGAGTATGGTGTATCTTTGCAATTGAAAGAAATAGACGAACGATCGCACTTGATGGTCCCTATTTGTCCCCTTTAGAGGGTCCCTCGTCTCGCACGTCACTTCAAAATACGAGTTTGACTGGTCCTTTTTTGTTTTAAAAATCTTAAGAGAATACAAGTCAATTTTACTTTTCGATGTATTGCTTGATCTGTTTTACATAAGATGCTTTTTCTAAAGATTAAGTATCTAAGTAACAGTAATGTACTCCCTTTAGAGACTGCAAAATATCTTTAAAATCAGTTATGTAGTCAAGTACTTATTTGTCTCAAGAGAATATACAACCATAATTGAAGAGGAGATTAGAAAAAGCATCTTGTCTTGATACTTCTAACCACCCACACTTTTGCTCCTAAACTTTCTTGCTGCTTGTAAATTCTGATATGTGTTTAATGTAGTATGCATGTGTTCCTCATAACTTTAACTTTGTAGTTACTCTAGCCTTTCTCTCTAGTTAGTGGAGCACAACGTTGGCCAACAAAGGATCTCGTTAACACTGTAGCGATATTGAGTGGGTTAGACTCTAAGAGAGCAAAAGAGCCACTTAATAATTGATTGCTAGTGTACCTATGCTTAGTATATGGTCACCACACTGAAAATATTTTTACGGGGACATTGAAAGCTACATTTAATTGACTGTTATTTTATTACATTTCATGTAATTTATCTATAATACTGTATACCCTGCAAGAGTTGTGTGATACTTTGTACTTTTCGCTAGAAATATTAGTTTGCATTTGAAATAAGGCAAGCTTTACTATGGAACAAAATGTAACATTTAATTTAAATAAACTACGATTCCCTTCTAAAGGACTTCATACTTAATCAGAAACAATTACATCTTCAGACAGCTTGCGGCGCTGCATAAAACAATAAAAATACAAATAGAAAATTACTCGAAGGCTTTGCAAAACTTCAGAATTCAGATTCATTTCTCCGTTCTAAATTGCCTTTATTCGAAACGATTCAACTCCGTCTTTTTCAAGACCGCAGCTTATTTCCATTTATCAAGTAACATCATTTCGAAGTGCCCAACTAGTTTTCTCATTTCTTTATTGTATTGTTTCAAAAAATTCCTGTAGAGTTCTCTTCTCAAGTTACTTGTGGTGGATTTGCATGACTGCTTTTCTAATATAACTTTGTTTTTCTTGTAAATAAATAATTAAAACGTTATGCATTTTAATAGAAGACTGTGTTGTTGTTTTTGTTCACTTTGTTTGTTTATTGTGGTAACTTGTTTTTGTTTCCCAGGATAAACTTTTAGAAGTTGCAGTTTGTAGTGCTTTTAACAAGCACATCGGCTTTTTTACAACATTCTTACTCATAAAGCAAATTTCCATTCCATTGGCTATGAAAATAATAAAATCTGGTACTTCAGACAGAAGTTCCACAGAAGTAAGCTCGTACATAATTTAATGTGTGTACAAAATGAAACTCTAAATTATGGATTAGGCTTTTGATTCTTCTTTCTCTTTCTTCTTCTTTCTTTCGAACCCTAAACTGTGAGACATTTCGTTTACTGACTGCACTAGCCCTGCTTTCACTCCTTTAACGCTACTAATCACATAAGTACCTAGTTAATGACCGCACATTATTAAGAAGACTGTCATTATGCAAAATGGTATTTTTTCCAAGACTTTATTATTGATAGCAAAATTGTATTTTTATGAGTTTTGTTTTCATTACTTAATTAGCTTAACCCATTACTTAGTAATTAAAGTTTTCAGTGTTAAAGTGCTTCATAAATAGAAGAAAAGGAAGCATACATAAGTATTCGTTTATTGACGGCCCTCTTAACAGTGTGCGACGTACGTACCTAATCATGAAGCGAACTTTTAGTAATATGATGTTCTACCTATATTCAGCATGCGACATGAACGTCCACAAGCGCTGCGAGGAGTCTGTGCCCAACCTGTGCGGCTGCGACCACACCGAGCGACGCGGGCGCATCCTGCTCGCCGTGTCCTGCCACGGAAACAAGCTCAGCGTCGAAGGTATGTTCCGTTACTTCTACCTTACTACGTTACTAGCGCTGCGAGGAGTCTGTGCCCAACCTGTGCGGCTGTGACCCCACCAAGCGGCGCGGCCGCATCCTGCTCGCCGTGTCCTGCCACGGGAACAAGCTCAGCGTCGAGGGTATGTTCCGTTCCTTCTACCTTACTACGTTACTAGCGCTGCGAGGAGTCTGTGCCCAACCTTAGCGGCGCGGGCACATCCTGCTCGCCGTGTCCTGCCACGGGAACAAGCTCAGCGTCGAGGGTATGTTCCGTTCCTTCTACCTTACTACGTTACTAGCGCTGCGAGGAGTCTGTGCCCAACCTGTGCGGCCGCGACCACACCGAGCGGCGCGGGCGCATCCTGCTCGCCGTGTCCTGCCACGGGAACAAGCTCAGCGTCGAGGGTATGTTCCGTTCCTTCTTCCTTACTACGTTACCAGCGCTGCGAGGAGTCTGTGCCCAACCTGTGCGGCTAGCGGCGCGGCCGCATCCTGCTCGCCGTGTTCTGCCACGGGAACAAGCTCAGCGTAGAGGGTATGTTCCGTTCCATCTCGCCTTAGGACGTCACTAGCGCTGCAAGGAGTCTGTGCCCAACCTATGCGGCTGGGCACATCGATCACCGAGCGGCGCGGGCGCATCCTGCTCGCCGTGTCCTGCCACGGGAACAAGCTCAGCGTCGAGGGTATATACTTTTATGTATTTTTTATCCGTTAAGCTAAGCCAAAAGTAAAATATAAGGGGGCAAATTATCTTGATTATTCTCAGGCATTGGAGCCTGCATTTCGACCGATAGAAAGTGATGATCATGCCAAAGGTGGAAGCGAACTGCATGAAAGGGAGTGAATGACTTTGAGGGTCACTTTAGTCTTAGGAAAAACAACAGAAGAGGTTGCCCAAATGCGTTATAAGCGTAACAGGCAATTGGCAACTTCTTCTCCCTAGTCAGCTTCGAAAGTATGGGTGGCATATGATCATATGAGCCCAATTGAATATTTTTTTCCATAGGATAGAATTGAGTAATTACGTAATTTCTAAGCTATTGTACAAAAATGTTTGACTAACGAGAATATATTGTTTTCCAGTGAAGCAAGGCCGCAACCTGATCCCCATGGACCCGAACGGCCTCTCGGACCCCTACGTGAAGATGAAGCTGATCCCCGACTCGGACAACGTGAAGAAAAAAACCAAGACCATCCGCAGCACGCTCAACCCCGTGTGGAACGAGACGCTGACCTTCGAACTGAAGGCGGAGGACAAGGACCGGAGGCTGCTCATCGAGGTGAGGACCTCACGAATTCTATGCGTCAACTGTGGTATGTTATGTGAAAGACATGCGCAGGCATCTTATGGTATCATCCCAACACTGACATCTTATGTACGAGTAGTTGTAATAATTGTGGTTTTGCAAGAATAATGCCTGGTGTGCTGTCGACAACTGAACAAACGCATTTTAGACACGTACATCAATTTTAATACGATATTTGGTTGCAATAAGGAAGATTTTTCATGACTTATGAATTAGCTGATGTGCTATGCGTGATACTTTCTATACAATCACAATGTCACTTTTTGCGTTTCCGATAAATTTACTTGCATGAATACGTCGTAAGTAGTAGTAAGTTTTAAGTTATTTTGTCGGCATACATTTATTAAGTTCCTACCATCCTCTAAAAGATGCCATACCTTTATTTTCACTAAGCAAAATCTCTGGCCTAGCATAAAGTACGGACACTATGATAACTAAACTCCTTTAGCATAGTCATTGTTAACATCAAGTTTCTCTTTCTTGGATCCATATTTTTATTCACAACTTTCAGGTGTGGGACTGGGACCGAACCTCCCGAAACGATTTCATGGGGTCCCTCTCCTTTGGCATATCCGAACTGATGAAGGCCCCAGCTGAGGGTTGGTTCAAGCTCCTCACTCAGGAGGAGGGAGAATTCTACAACGTGCCGGTGCCTGAGGAAGGCGCTGACCTCGCCCAGCTGAAGAACCAGATGAGGGCTACGAGTGTTGGAGCTCGTAGGGCTCCGCCCCCGCCTGATAGGGAGGTGCCGCATAACATGGCGGCTGCGGACGTCATCAGGGCATCGGACTTCAACTTCATCATGGTGCTCGGGAAGGGGTCTTTTGGGAAGGTAAGATTTTATCTGAGACGTACATGGAAGTTTATCTACATCCTACGTCTGTAAAAATAAACATAGATTTATCAGAAGAAACCGCTTGAAGTACCAACTTCTAACGTTCAACCTAACACCCTGCTTTCTCTTTCTTTTCATCAAAAATTTGGAAATAACATTCACCAATTATTTCACGATATGATGTTGACAGTGAGGGATGACCTGTACTTATGCACAGACTACTCAAAATTATTTTTCCAGTATAGTCTTTGGACGCTGGAAAGTATTTAAAGAAGCTGTACAACGCTGGGTATAGGCCGCTTCCAATCAGCCTATCTGGAAATCATCTTCAGCAGTGGATATCCTGTGGCTGAAATGATGATGATTTAAGGCCAATAACAACCATTCCAGGTAATGCTGGCCGAGCGCCGCGGCACCGACGAGCTCTACGCCATCAAGATCCTGAAGAAGGACATCATCATCCAGGACGACGACGTGGAGTGCACGATGGTGGAGAAGCGGGTCTTGGCTCTGAGCAGCAAGCCGCCCTTCTTGGTGCAGCTGCATTCCTGCTTCCAGACTATGGTGGGACATCTTATTCTTATACTTTATTCTAAAGCGTGATAACTACTTCTGAAAACTTGCCTAAAGCTTCAATCACAATGACAGGTCGCGCGACCCATGACAGTCCCCGCGACCTGTCATTGGCCTATGATCGTGCCGGTGATGGCGATCTGCATGCGTTGGTGTGCTTGAAGCTTATGGCCTCAAAATGACCATACAAACCAAATAAAGCAGTTATTTAGTCTAGGAATTGAAGCTAAAGTACTAAACTTGTAGAGGTAAAAAATCGATTGAAGTTGATGTCTTTAAGTGATCTCAAATCATGATATTCTTTTTAACCCGATTTCTGAATTAAGATGTCTAGCTTGAGAGAGCTTATTTTCTACTTAAATATAAATTGCCTTTAAACGTTTAGTCAAATGTTTTGCTTATTAAATTTAATTTAACAATTTTAACTTTGTTTTCCAGGATCGTCTGTACTTTGTGATGGAGTACGTGAACGGCGGAGATCTTATGTTCCAAATTCAGCAGTGCGGGAAATTCAAGGAGCCTGTTGCCGTGTAAGTAAACCTTAATAAAACCGAACTCAATTAAACCTTTCGTTAAAATATTATCCAAATTGAACAAGTACGAGTGTTTTTGTTTATACATCCAATAATATGTTCTTTTGTTATTTTAGGCTCAATTCGACCAAACTTTTATCCGAGAATAACTCCTGGTAGTTATACCAAAAATATATGTCAAAATTTCGAATAAACTGACGATTTATTCTGAGATTAATATTTACTCTTGTTTGGTCGAATCCACCCTAAGTATAACATTTTTGTCACAGATTTTATGCAGCTGAAATAGCCATCGGACTTTTCTTCCTACACTCGCGCGGGATCGTGTACCGCGACCTGAAACTGGACAACGTGTTGCTCGACCAAGACGGCCACATCAAGATCGCTGACTTCGGGATGTGCAAAGAAGGTAAATTATGGCGTAGCGAAGCGATGGCTGGAACTATGTAGCGCAGCAGCGCTTAAAAGAACTACGGGGCTACTTCATACATATCCTAAGTTCAAATGACTCCATCTCTCTTCTGCAATGTGAGATGCAGCATGTGTGGCAGAGACAGATAGATCCCTCAGCGCTTTTAGAATACTCTTCTAACTTTATGCAGGTCAATGTTACCAATTAAAAAATAAATACTGTTGATAACAAGAGTGTGTGCTACCAGGGTTTTTTTTTATCTAGCAGGCAATGTAACTTTAATTTTTTGGGCCGCTTCTTCTTATTTGCCAGAATTCTGTCACGAAACGCTGAACAGCACCGTAACACAGAACAGCACTGTGTGTACAGTGTCTCAATGTTTTGGTCATCCAGTTGCTTTACCTTATGTAAATATGTACTAGCTTTTGCCCGCAGCTTCACTCGCGTGAAATTTAGGTTGTCACAGATCGTCATAAATTATAGCCTATATGTTAATCTGGGTTACAAACAATGATACTGTAAAGTTTCATCAAAATCCGTTCAGTAGTTTTTGCGTGAAAGAGTAACAAACATCCACACAAACTTTCGCATTTATAATATTATTAGTAGGATTATTAAGAAACATTTTATTGCATTTTTTATTGAATATTTACCGATTTTAATATTGCCCTTTGTTTTCCAGGCATCAACGGCGACAAAACCACCAAGACCTTCTGCGGCACGCCAGATTACATCGCGCCAGAGATCATCTTATACCAGCCGTACGGCAAGTCGGTCGACTGGTGGGCATACGGGGTGCTGCTGTATGAAATGCTTGTGGGACAGCCGCCGTTTGACGGTGAAGATGAGGAGGAACTGTTCGCTGCTATCACTGATAACAGCGTGTCGTATCCGAAGACTTTGAGCAAGGTAGAGTGATCTTTAGTCTATCAATGGCTTGAACTTAAATAAATTTGATAATGAAAAAGAAAGAAGGAAAAGTGTCTACTTTTTATCGGTCTTATGATAGGTATCATACAAAATTAGAAATTTAGATTTTCCCATTCCAGCTTTATTGATATTTAAAATTCAGATATGATATTTGAAATCCCTTGACGTCATTTATATACGTAGAAACAATACGAAGTAAATATTGGATCTACCGGTTGTTATAGCTAGGCTTTCATTACAGTGTATCCTGTCGTTTGCCTCTAGTAAATTAGAGGAGGTCCTGCGGTACAGATTAAATTATTTTGATGATAATGATGTTCGTGATGGGACAGAAGTTGGTGGAGGGTTGAAGAAGAGGCCTATGTTTGAAGGCGAACCAAGGCTGTCATAGATAGATAGAAAGATGTTAGCGATGACCATATTCTCTTATCTGTTTGTTGCGGCGCTTCTTCTCAGCACTTGCTGGTCTCGAAGCGCTGGTAGGGTAAAAAGATTGTGAGACATGTATAGGCTCCTTAAGAGCAAAATATTTGACGATTTGTAATATGTCAACGTGAAATTGTGAACTCTGTCAGTTTATAATATAACGCGTTAGATTGTAAACTAACAGTGGGTTAGGTTAGGTTAGATTGTAATTCAACTACGTCAGATTATAATCTGACGAAATTCACAATTTTACGGTGACATATACAAATAAAGAAATTTTGACTTTGTACTCCCGCAGGAAGCGAAAGACGCGTGCAAAGCGTTCCTGACCAAGAACCCGCAGAAGCGTTTGGGATGCGGCGCGCGCGGCGAGGAGGACGTGCGCTTGCATCCCTTCTTCAAGCGCATCGACTGGTCGCGCATCGAGGCCAGGGACGTGCAGCCGCCATTCAAGCCTAAGATCGTAAGTATACCGTTATCGTGCAAGATTTGAAGTCATGATCTTCAAGATCGTAGGCAAGGAGTCGCATGAAGAAAGACACGCGCAAAGCGTTCCTAACCAAGGACATCGTGCGCTTGCATCCCTTCTTCAAGCGCATCGAGGCCAGAGACGTGCAGCCACCTTTCAAGCCCAAGATCGTAAGTCATTGTCATTCTTAATAGTAAAGCATTAGGGTTCAAAGTCGCATGAAGAGAGAGTTCCTAACCAAGGCCGTGCGCTTGCATCCCTTCTTCAAGCGCATCGACTGGTCGCGCATCGAGGCCAGGGACGTGCAGCCGCCTTTCAAGCCTAAGATCGTAAGTCATCGTCATTCTTAATAGTAAAGCATTAGGGTTCAAAGTCGCATGAACGCGTCAGTAGCGTTTGGGCCGCGGTCGACTGGTCGCGCATCGAGGCTAGGGACGTGCAGCCGCCTTTCAAGCTCAAGATCGTAAGTTACTATCATCATTTTGAACATAAGTCATTAGCGTTCAAAGTCACATGAAGAGAGACGCGCCCAAAGTGTTCCTAACTAAGGACGTGCGCTTGCATCCCTTCTTCAAGCGCATCGACTGGTCGCGTATCGAGGCCAGGGACGTGCAGCCGCCACGGGAACAAGCTCAGCGTCGAGGGTATGTTCCGTTCCTTCTACCTTACTACGTTACTAGCGCTGCGAGGAGTCTGTGCCCAACCTATGCGGCTGCGACCACACCGAGCGGCGCGGGCGCATCCTGCTCGCCGTGTCCTGCCACGGGAACAAGCTCATGTTCTTTTATGTATTTTTGTCCAATATGGGGATAACTAAGAGACCCCGCATTTAGATGAAAAACTAAAGATGGAAGTGATAAAGGGGATCTTGAGAATAACTACCAATCACCGCTACCAACTATCAACCTAGCCGCTACCAACCGGGTGATGTGGAAATCATTGGGAGAGGCCTACGTTCGGCAGTGGATGTCCTGTGGCTGAAATGGTGATGAGGGTCACCTCAGGCATTAGGGCAATAACAGAAGTTTTACCGATGCTCTGCCTGTCTACCTTTTTGATAACGCGTAACGTTCTTATTGAGTAATTGGACAGCTTCTTCTCCCAGGTCAGCTTCGAAAGTAGATATGGGTGAAGGCCAATGATTTTTTCTAATAAAATAGATACGAGTTGGTACTTATTAGGATTCGTTCAATAACAAAGCCGTTATAGTGCAAACATTACACTAGACTAACGAGAATGTATTTACCTTTTCTCCAGTGAAGCAAGGCCGCAACCTGATCCCCATGGACCCGAACGGCCTCTCGGACCCCTACGTGAAGATGAAGCTGATCCCCGACTCGGACAACGTGAAGAAAAAAACCAAGACCATCCGCAGCACGCTCAACCCCGTGTGGAACGAGACCCTCACCTTCGAGCTGAAGGCGGAGGACAAGGACCGGAGGCTGCTCATCGAGGTGAGGATCTCACGAACTCTATGCGTCAACTGTGGTATGTTATGTGAAAGACATGCTTAGGCATCTTATGGTATCATCCCAACACTGGCATCTTATGTACGAGTAGTTGTAATAATTGTGGTTTTGCAAGAATAATGCCTGGTGTGCTGTCGACAACTGAACAAAAGCATTTTAGACACGTACATCAATTTTAATACGATATTTGGTTGAAATAAGGAAGATTTTTCATGACTTATGAATTAGCTGATGTGCTATGCGTGATACTTTCTATCAGTGGCGTAACTATACCGTTCGAGGCCCGTGGCAAATTCATCGAATGGGCCCTCCCACTTTCCCAATATACAGTGTGAGTCACGTTAAAGTGCACATATGAAAATAGATGAAACTAGACCTATTTTTATCGACAAAAAAGAGGTCAAAAATTTTTTGAGATTTTTTAAAATTTTTTATGGAATTTTTTTTCTTCCAATTACTTATTGTAAAGAAAACGTAATAACTTTTGAACTAAGCGGTATATCCTGATAAAATAAAAACAGTAATAATGCTAAATAACAGGTGATACTAAAAAAAAACATAAAATACACAAAAAAGGCCAACAAATAATAAAAAATGATACTTTTTGAAAAAAATCTGCTTTTAAATTCGTGTTTTTTTGGTTATTTGATAAATTTCTCCAAAAAATGCTCTTATAATAGGTGGTTTTTATTACTTTGTATTATTCTCTATCGTATTACCTTCGTAAAACTAAAAATCACATGTCTCTATCCCTATCACAACGTCTGCAATGATCGTTTGAACTAAGCCTCTCCGGGCGCGCCATTCAACGCTTCGTTAACAACGAAACTAAAAATGGCTCAAGATTTGTAATTTTGATAAAGACAAGTTAGATTTCAAATAAAAACAAAAAATTTCGAAGTAAAATAAGCATTTTAGTTTAAATAAAATAAAAATAATAATTGTCCCTACATATAGCGGAGAAAAATGTTGTGGCAGGTCTTTGTTCAAACGATCATAGCAAATGTTGTGATAGGAATAGAGACATGCGATTTGGTTTTACAAAGATAATACGATAGAGAATAATACAAAGTAATAAAAACCACCTGTTATAGGGGCATTTTTTGGAGAAATTTAGCAAATAACCAAAAAACACGAATTTAAAAGCATTTTTTTTCAAAAAGTATCATTTTTTATTATTTGTTTAAATTTTTTGTGTATTTTATGTATTTTTTTAGTATCGCCTGTTATTTAGCATTATTACTGTTTTTATTTTATCAGGATATACCGCTTAGTTCAAAAGTTATTACGTTTTCTTTACAATAAGAAATTGGAAGAAAAAAAATTCTATAAAAAATATTTAAAAAAATCTCAAAATTTTTTTCGATAAAAATAGGTCTAGTTTCATCTATTTTCATATGTACACTTTAACGTGACTCGCACTGTATAAAGAAGCTGAACCAACAACAATAGTATTTTTTATTTTATAATATTTATTTATACACTTTTATTTGTAAAAGTTAACTAATAAATCACTACGTGAAGTAGGTAGGTACATACAAAATTTTTTTTTACCAATGCATTGAAAGTTTAATACCTAGGTATATTTTTTTTAGTTGTGTATGCAACTAAGAAGGTAACAAATAAATTAAAGACAAAACTTTTTTTTACTTAAGTAGTATGTGTAATAATAAATGTTGGGAATTGAGATTTCCTCTGACCGGGGGCCCCTTCGGGCTGGGGGCCCGTGGCATTTTGCCGACTTGCCACCCTATAGTTACGCCACTGCTTTCTATACAATCACAATGTCACTTTTTGCGCTTCCGATAATTTTACTTGCATGAATACGTCGTAAGTAGTAGTAAGTTTTAAGTTATTTTGTCGGCATAAATTTATTAAGTACCTACCATCCTCTAAAAGATGCCATACCTTTATTTTCACTAAGCAAAATCTCTGGCCTAGCATAAAGTACGGACACTATGATAACTAAACTCCTTTAGCATAGTCATTGTTAACATCGAGTTTCTTTTTCTTAGATCCATATTTTTATTCACAACTTTCAGGTGTGGGACTGGGACCGAACCTCCCGAAACGATTTCATGGGGTCTCTCTCCTTTGGCATATCCGAACTGATGAAGGCCCCGGCTGAGGGCTGGTTCAAGCTCCTCACGCAGGAGGAGGGAGAGTTCTACAACGTGCCGGTGCCTGAGGAAGGCGCTGACCTCGCCCAGCTGAAGAACCAGATGAGGGCTACGAGTGTTGGAGCTCGTAGGGCTCCGCCCCCGCCTGATAGGGAGGTGCCGCACAACATGGCGGCTGCAGACGTCATCAGGGCATCGGACTTCAACTTCATCATGGTGCTCGGGAAGGGGTCTTTTGGGAAGGTAAGATTTTATCTGAGACGGACATTGAAGTTTATCTACATCCTAGGTCTGTAAAAATAAAGATAGATTTATCAGAATAAATCGCTTGAAGTACAAACTTCTGACTTTCAACCTAACACCCTGATTTCTTTTTCCTTTCATAATAAAGTAAATAAGAAACTAACATTCAACAAATATTTCGCGGTATGATGTCGAGAGTGAAGGATGACCTGTACTTATATACAGACTACTATTATTTTATACAAAAGTATTTTTCTTTCTTTGGACGCTGGAGAGCATTTAAAGAAGCCGTAAGCCGCTGGGCACATGCCGTTTCCTACCAGCCAATCTGGAAATTATTAGGGGGAAAACCTGTCTTCTGCAGTGGCTGAAATGATGATGATTTTTAAAAAGAAAGATGGTTAATAACATCTATTCTTCCAGGTAATGCTGGCCGAGCGCCGCGGCACCGATGAGCTCTACGCCATCAAGATCCTGAAGAAGGACATCATCATCCAGGACGACGACGTGGAGTGCACGATGGTGGAGAAGCGGGTCTTGGCTCTGAGCAGCAAGCCGCCCTTCTTAGTGCAGCTGCATTCCTGCTTCCAGACTATGGTAAGACTAGCGGCCGCCCACGACTGCGTACAAAGAAGTGGATCCCGTTTTACCCCCTTCATCTATCTTACGCCGTTTAGATTTTTTCATACAAATGTTTTTTCCCGCTAACTCTCGTTCCCGTGGGTATTTTGCAATATCCTGTTGTAACTAAGCTTTAAGTTTACTAGGGTACCTGCATGCCAAATTTCAAGCGTCTAACTTAAGCGGTTTAGATTTTTCATACAAAAGGATTTTCTCGCTAATTCCCGTTCCGTGGGAATTTCTGGTATTCCTTTCTTAGTACACCTCTACGGTACCTAAGCTACGTCCCTTCCAAATTTCAAGTGCCTACGTTTAGCCGTTAGGCTGTGCGTTGATATGTCAGTCAGTCAGTTTCTCCTTTTATATTGTATTTAGATAGGCTTGGCAACAGATTTTACATTATTTTTGAACCTTGAAGCGATATAATAAGGTTAAAAATATGGTGGGAACTGGGAGCAATATTCTCTCTAATGGCTTCCGCAGAATAACAGCGTCATGCATGGGTTTTACTACTTCAGAGCATGACACATGCTGAGCGGTGGCCATTTTTGGTTCTGAATACCTTGTACCTTCATAACTGTGTATTTTTTTTTAAGTTGGAATCAAAATAAAATGTTTTTTCTTTCTTTTCTTTTTTCTATGGTGGGAAAAGGGCATAGCAATTTCAGTCTTAAGACAAAGTGATAAGGTTAAAGTAATGGTGGGCACAGTATTCTCCCTTCTTGGTGCAGAATTGCGCTCGTGCTTCCAGACTGTGGTGGTAAACGAGCATAGCAAACTCAGCTTTAAGATAAAGGAATAGGCCTAAGAAAATGGGAATAATATTCCCTCTGCTTATGTATTCTAAAACGCTTACTGCTAAAGCTTAGCTCTAATGTTAATTCTGTCTATCTAAGGGTATTTTTTTCCAGGATCGTCTATACTTTGTGATGGAGTACGTGAACGGCGGAGATCTTATGTTCCAAATTCAGCAGTGCGGAAAATTCAAGGAGCCTGTTGCCGTGTAAGTAAACCTTAATAAAACCGAACTCAATTAAACCTTTCGTTAAAATATTATCCAAATTGAACAAGTACGAGTGTTTTTGTTTATACATCCAATAATATGTTCTTTTGTTATTTTAGGCTCAATTCGACCAAACTTTTATCCAAAAATAACCAAAAAAATATGTCAAAATTTCGAATAAACTGACGATTTATTCTGAGATTAATATTTACTCTTGTTTGGTAGAATCCACCCTAAGTATAACATTTTTGTCACAGATTTTATGCAGCTGAAATAGCCATCGGACTGTTCTTCCTACACTCGCGCGGGATCGTGTACCGCGACCTGAAACTGGACAACGTGTTGCTCGACCAAGACGGCCACATCAAGATCGCTGACTTCGGGATGTGCAAAGAAGGTAAGGATGGCTCAGCGAAGCGATGGCTGGATCTTTTTTTATGCATAATAAGGCAGAAATTTGAGCTATGTAGACCACAAGCACTTATAGGAACTGCAGGGCTACTTCATACATATCCGAAGTTCAAATGACTCCATCACTCTTCTGCAATATGAAATGCAGCATGTGTGGCAGAGACAGATAGATCCCTCAGCGCTTTTAGAATACTCTTCTAACTTTATGCAGGTCAATGTTACCAATTAAAAAATAAATACTGTTGATAACAAGAGTGTGTGCTACCAGGGTTTTTTTATCTAGCAGGCAATGTAACTTTAATTTTTTGGGCCGCTTCTTCTTATTTGCCAGAATTCTGTCACGAAACGCTGAACAGCACTGTAACACTGAACAGCACTGTGTGTACAGTGTCTCAATGTTTTGGTCATCCAGTTGCTTTACCTTATGGAAATACTAGCTTTTGCCCGCAGCTTAACTCGCGTGAAATTTAGATTGTCACAGATCGTCATAAATTATAGCCTATATGTTAATCTGGGTTATAAACAATAATACTGTAAAGTTTCATCAAAATCCGTTCAGCAGTTTTTGCGTGAAAGAGTAACAAACATCCACACAAACTTTCGCATTTATAATATTATTAGTAGGATTATTAAGAAACATTTTAATGCATTTTTTAAATTGAATATTTTTTTTTTTATTTATTTTAATATTGTCTTTTGTTTTCTAGGCATCAACGGCGACAAAACCACCAAGACCTTCTGCGGGACGCCGGACTATATCGCGCCAGAGATCATCTTATACCAGCCGTACGGCAAGTCGGTCGACTGGTGGGCATACGGGGTGCTGCTGTATGAAATGCTTGTGGGACAGCCGCCGTTTGACGGTGAAGATGAGGAGGAACTGTTCGCTGCTATCACTGATAACAGCGTGTCGTATCCCAAGACTTTGAGCAAGGTAGAGTGATGTTTAGTCTATCAATGGCTTGAATTTAAATTAATTTGATAATGAAAAAAGAATGAAGGAAAAGTGTCTACTTTTTATCGGTCTTATGATAGGTATCATACTAAATTAGAAATTTAGATTCTCCCATTCCAGCTTTATTGGCAAAATCTAAGTATTTTAGTGCTTGTCATTTATAAAATTCAGATGATATTTGGAATCCCTTGACGTCATTTAATACGTAGAAACAATACGAAGCTTCCCATACTAAACAGCCTATGTTATAGGGTGTTCCATGTGAAGTTTAAATTAAATCAAGTAAATATTGGATCCACCGCGGTGCACCGGTTGTTATAGCAAAGATTTCATTACAGTTTATCCTGTCGTTTGCCTCTAGTAAATTAGAGAAGGTCCTGCGGTAGAGATTAAATTATTTTGATGATAATGATGTTCGTGATGGGACAGAAGTCGGTGGAGGGTTGAAGAGGAGGCCTATCTTCGAAGGCGAACCAAGGCTGTCATAGATAGATAGATAGATAGATAGATAGAAAGATGTTAGCGATGACCATATTCTCTTATCTGTTTGTTGCGGCGCTTCTTCTCAGCACTTGCTGGTCTCGAAGCGCTGGTAGGGTAAAAAGTTTGTGAGACATGTATAGGCTCCTTAAGAGCAAAATATTTGACGATTTGTAAAATAGTCTACAAATAAAGAAATTTTGACTTTATACTCCCGCAGGAAGCGAAAGACGCGTGCAAAGCGTTCCTGACCAAGAACCCGCAGAAGCGTTTGGGATGCGGCGCGCGCGGCGAGGAGGACGTGCGCTTGCATCCCTTCTTCAAGCGCATCGACTGGTCGCGCATCGAGGCCAGGGACGTGCAGCCGCCTTTCAAGCCTAAGATCGTAAGTTACTATCATCCTTATTAATAAGGCATTATTAGGGTTCAAAGTTGCATCAAGAGATACTTGCAAAGCTTTCCTAACCAAGAACGTGCGCTTGCATCCCTTCTTCAAGCGCATCGAGGCCAGGGACGTGCAGCCGCCTTTCAAGCCTAAGATCGTAAGTCATTGTCATTCTTAACCTTTAACCGACGAGGTGCGGTCTCACAGACCGCTCCGGTTTTTGAAATTTCTGTATTGCAATGTTCTACTTACTCCCGTGTCCCGAGCTTCTCGGTACCTTCGAGTTTAGTTGCCCAAACGCCATTACAGGTAGTGGTTACATCGACGAGGGCAGTTTTAATAAGATAATTCGATTTAAAGTTCAACAGCGGTCTGTGGGACCGCACGTCGCAGACTACGTGTCATTTTTGTACCATGCTAAAACTTGCGTTTTTTTTTAGACGACTGATTTTTCGTGAAAATGATGGAACCTGGGCCATCACAACCTAGAGAAAGACATTTCCTAATGATATATTGATATTAGGACATAATATCATGTAAAAGATGGTAGTCTGTAAAAAAATGCCGCGAAACGGATGGTAAAGCAAACAGTGACATGTATTCTAGGCTCTGACATGCCAAATCAACCTGATGTCATTGCACCAGCTGCAAAAAAGATGTACATTTTAGTCCACCTAAATTGAAAACGAAATTATCTTACAGGTGTTACCTATGCATTCCGAAAATGCTTGGCATGCGGTAAAAAAAATGTCCTGATTTTGCCTGATGTTTACCCTACGTAAATTTTTTTTTGTGCATGGTAATTTACGTGTCATTTATTTTTATTTTATTCATTATGTTCCCTATATTTAGGAAGGAGTAGAGTTTTTCTTGCTTTGATTAAAATTTACAAGTTATATAGATATTATTGAGCTCTAGTGTAATTTCAATGAAATTAAGGGTCAAAAAGGTTTTAGCCATATTTAAATAAAAAATATACATTGATTCCTCGCAAATTATACGTATGTTTATTTATAATACTATAATGTTCTCAAAAAATATAAAACCAATATACTTTTATACAAAAAAATATTACTTTTTGAGTAAACAGTATAGCGGTCCCACAGACCGCACGTCGCAGACGGCGTGACAAAAAAATCACGTCGTCGGTTAAAGGTTAATAGTAAAGCATTAGGGTCCAAAGTTGCATGAAGAGATACCTGCAAAGCTTTCCTAACCAAGAACGTGCGCTTGCATCCCTTCTTCAAGCGCATCGACTGGTCGCGCATCGAGGCCAGGGACGTGCAGCCGCCTTTCAAGCCTAAGATCGTAAGTTACTATCATCCTTATTAATAAGGCATTATTAGGGTTCAAAGTTGCATCAAGAGATACTTGCAAAGCTTTCCTAACCAAGAACGTGCGCTTGCATCCCTTCTTCAAGCGCATCGAGGCCAGGGACGTGCAGCCGCCTTTCAAGCCTAAGATCGTAAGTCATTGTCATTCTTAATAGTAAAGCATTAGGGTCCAAAGTTGCATGAAGAGATACGTGCAAAGCGTTCCTAACCAAGAACGTGCGCTTGCATCCCTTCTTCAAGCGCATCGACTGGTCGCGCATCGAGGCCAGGGACGTGCAGCCGCCTTTCAAGCCTAAGATCGTAAGTCATTGTCATTCTTAATAGTAAAGCATTAGGGTTCAAAGTTGCATGAAGAGATACGTGCAAAGCGTTCCTAACCAAGAACGTGCGCTTGCATCCCTTCTTCAAGCGCATCGACTGGTCGCGCATCGAGGCCAGGGACGTGCAGCCGCCATTCAAGCCTAAGATCGTAAGTCATCGTCATTCTTAATAGTAAAGCATTAGGATTCAAAGTCGCATGAACGCGTCAGTAGCGTTTGGGCCGCGGTCGACTGGTCGCGCATCGAGGCTAGGGACGTGCAGCCGCCTTTCAAGCTCAAGATCGTAAGTTACTATCATCATTTTGAACATAAGTCATTAGCGTTCAAAGTCGCATGAAGAGAGACGCGCCCAAAGCGTTCCTAACTAAGGACGTGCGCTTGCATCCCTTCTTCAAGCGCATCGACTGGTCGCGCATCGAGGCCAGGGACGTGCAACCGCCCTTCAAACCCAAGATCGTAAGTATCATCGTAGATTGGGAGACAAGCGTCCCGATCGTCTCATGATCAACCAAGATCGTAAGTCATGATCATCCAAGATCGTAAGCAAGGAGGATGTGGATCGACTGGTCGCGCATCGAGGTCAGGGAAGTGCAGCCCCCTTTCAAGCTTATGATCGCAAGTCACTATCACTCTTGAGCGTAAGGCATTAGTGTTTAAAGTTCCTAACTAAGGACGTGGGTTTGCATCCCTTCTTCAAGCGCATCGACTGGTAGTGCATCGAAGCGAAAGACGTGCAGCCGCCTTTCAAGCCTAAGATCGTAAGTCATTATCACCCTTGATCGTAAGACATTAGCGTTCAAAGTCGCATGAACCCGCAGAAGCGTTTGGGATGCGGCGCGCGCGGCGAGGAGGACGTGCGCTTGCATCCCTTCTTCAAGCGCATCGACTGGTCGCGCATCGAGGCCAGGGACGTGCAGCCGCCTTTCAAGCCTAAGATCGTAAGTCATTGTCATCCTTATTCAAAAGGCATTAGCACCCAAAGTCGCTTGAAGAGAAAGACGCGTGCAAAGAGGAGGAGGACGTGCGCTTGCATCCCTTCATCAAGCGCATCGAAGCGAAAGACATGCAGCCGCCTTTCAAGCCTAAGATCGTAAGTCATTGTCATCCTAAATCTTATAATAGGAGCATTCAAGTATTCGCTGGGTGCGAAGTACTAGGTGGGGGGGACATAATCTATCGCAGCGCTCATGGTGGTCAAAAGTAGAAATAATGTTAGCTCTGTCATCAGATGTATCTGTCAATGGCAAAGCGATTCTACATAATACATTTTAATATCATTAATTAATCGCATGAAAAGGGTCCTACTGGGAACTTAAATAAAAGAGTGGACTGTATTTCGATAGGGCTGTTTTAATAGCCGTTTACAATTTGGAAATAACTAAACTATACAACGTGGTAGTACAAAAATGAGTCACAGTAGTTGTTGTGCACAGATGTTTGCCTTATGATGAGAGCGTGAATTATTGAACTCTGCCCTTGTTTTGTTCTTAATTCTTCTACATCTCGGACTTGTCCAGCCAATACCAACAACTTTCCTTTAAATACGGTTTGTGGTTGGAATTTGATATTGTAACTCTCACAAACCCGGTCTTCAAAACGATACTCATTTCGATCTGAAAACGATATTTAATTTATTACTAGCGATACAGAAACATTTAAATATATTTACTGTTATATAATGAAACCGTTAAAGTAGCTTTTTCTTTTTGTTTTACTGTAAAACTACAACTATAAATGAAGTAAACAAACCCTGACACAATCAAAATTAAACACACTTTTTGGACTTACCTCATTTGATTTGAATGACCAAAATGATTTCAAAACCTTTTTTCCACCCAAATCGTGGTATCACAACAATTNAAAGCGTTCCTAACTAAGGACGTGCGCTTGCATCCCTTCTTCAAGCGCATCGACTGGTCGCGCATCGAGGCCAGGGATAAGTAGCCGCCTTTCAAGCCTAAGATCGTAAGTCATCGTCATTCTTAATAGTAAAGCATTAGGGTTCAAAGTTGCATGAAGAGATACTTGCAAAGCGTTCCTAACCAAGAACTTGCGCTTGCATCCCTTCTTCAAGCGCATCGACTGTTCGCGTATCGAGGCCAGGGACGTGCAGCCGCCTTTCAAGCCTAAGATCGTAAGTACCTATACCGTTATCGTGGAAGATTTGAAGTAATGATCATCAAGATCGTAGGCAAGGAGTCGCATGAAGAGAGACGCGTGCAAAGCGTTCCTAACCAAGGACATCGTGCGCTTGCATCCCTTCTTCAAGCGCATCAAGGCGAGGGACGTGCAGTCGCCTTTCAAGTCCAAGATCGTCATTCCAACCTCAAGAAGTCATTATCATCCTTCTTCGCAAGGCATTAGCACCCAAAGTCGCCTGAAGCGAAAGACGCTTGAAAAGCGTTCCTGACAACCCGTAGAAGCTTTTGGGCTGCGGTGAAAGAAAAGAAGTCAGACCATTTAATGACAGGGCCGGACCGAGTTTAGGGAGCCCTAGGCTAATACAACTTAGGTGCCCAGCCACCTCTTTCGCATTATCATCGTATTTTTGACTTTGACTTGACTTAGCTGGGGGCCCCTTGAATCCACGGGGACCTGGGCTGAAGCCCAAAAAGCCATATGGTAGATCCGGCCCTGTATACTAATGATAGTTATTGTATAAACTACCGTTCACTAAATTGAATATACACAGTTTTTAACGTGTTTCTATTTGCGTTTACCCAGAAACACCGCAAGGACGTGTCGAACTTCGACAAGCAGTTCACCCAAGAGAAGACGGAGCTGACGCCGACGGACAAGCTGTTCATGATGAACCTCGACCAGACCGAGTTCATGGGCTTCTCCTTCCTCAACCCCGAGTATGTGCAGCACGTCTGAACCGACGAGGTGAGAATTTATTCATCAAGTTATTGATTTGATCACCTAGGACAGTCTTTCCCAAAGTGGGCGATAACGCCCCCTTATGGGCGCTGCGGGCTTAAAGGGGGGCGGTAAGAGACCCAGAAAAAAAATCGGGACGTTGTGTAGTCGCTTGAGAGGCGTCATTTACTAGGAGGTTTCTTAGACACCGACTGAGCACTCGACTCTCGACTACAAACGGGGGCGCTAAAAAGAATTTATTCTCAAAGTGGGCAGTACACAAAACAAGTTTGGGAACCGCTGACCTAGGAGATAACTTGGAATTGTCATTCTCACTAAAATGTCTCTGGGGTGGTGGCGTAGTGAGGCGGGTCGTTACATTCCCTCTAATATGGTCGAGTGAAGCGATGGCTGGTTCACTCGTCATGTCTGTGAACAGGCGCTGCTTTCGGGGACTGGTCAATCCAAGTTATTCAAATTTATGTATTTTATTTTATTTTATTNTATGTATGCGAGTCATTTCTACTAGTATTTAAGTATCCTAATCTGTAAGTGTAGATATTAGCGCGTCACTACCTTGTTTAATATACCACGCATTTTTGTGTACCCATTCTTATAAGATGCACCATACAATAATGCATGGTAAATTCAGTGAACTGCTCCTGAATCGAATGTACCTACTACTGCTATTTCTATTTATTTTTAACCGGCAGACAGTGGTGACTGAGTTTGTTGCGGCGCTTCTTCACTTCAGCACTTGCCAAATGTTGGTCTCGAAGCGCTGGTAGGGTAAAAAGATTATGAGACATGTAGAGGATCCGAGCAAAATGACGATTTGTAAGAACTATTTATTAGTCTAAACAAATAAAGAAATTTTGACTTTGACTTAGGAGTTGATCACCTGATCACAAGATCACTTAGGTGATCAATGTAGACTTCTTATCCATGGGTGATCAAAGGACACCAAAGTGTCGCCTGGAGTCCATTATGATCACCGGGTGATCAGTGGAATAAACCAAGATTTTTTTCAGCCATCATTGACCTGTGAAACCCGTGTCGATGGCGGCTAAAAATCTTCATGTGTGTCGTGCATAAGCCGCGCATATAATATAAAATATTATAAAATAGATGTATTCATTTGAGTACGAAACTTTTATGTATTATTTAGGTTTATTACGGCGTCAATTACTTTTTATTTAGGCACAAGAAAATGAAAAAAGAAAATCACCTATAGTAGGTACGGGACTATTCCCACCTCTCGTTTCCACCACTGCAACTCCTGTGTAGCCAGGATCTACAGCTTGACCGCCAATAAAAACCCAACCAATGAAGGCAAGTTTGTACCGGGGGAAAGTTAACTGACATTGAACTCGAAACGAAATTAATCAGAAGAACATAGGAGGAGTTCGAAGTTAGGGTTTGACTTATTCAGTGCAAAGTGATGACCTATAAGCCAAACCCATAGAAAACTGGCAAACGAGATGCTATTCTGTGTTCAGATGTTTCCGATCTTTAGACCACCTTCTACTGAATTCTCCTGCCTTTATCATCAAAGGATTTTTATTAACGGGTAGCCTAATGCAGATTTATCAAGAACAGGACATTCCCTGCCTTTAACCATCCATACATAATATTTTTCTAATGTAGGGCATTTAAGGATTAAATAAATGATACAAACCACTTTTCTTCTTGCAGGGTTGAGCCGCTCTTCCAACACTACAGAAGCTGACTTAGCACTCGCTGCCATCGCTCCGAGGCGAGGGTATCTCTCCATCTGTCGACTGTCTCTGTCACTCTCACGACGCCAGTCGTTCGCTATCTCGTTCATTCTCGACTGTAAGCTACGTTTCATTCGGAACCGTATTTCCAGTGTTCTCATGAATGGGGATCGATGAGCATATGATAACAAAAACAACAAAAAAAAAGCTCATTCCCGTTTACTTTTTAATTCTAANTCGTGGTACCTATCATAACAATTTATTAGTTGAAAATTATTTGTTATTTTTTCATTTCGATATTTTTTCACAAATATACGACCTAAATGTCAATGTGACAGAGCCCACAAAGTTGTGGACGCTAGTTGGCGCTGTAATCGTGCACGGAGCCAATAAGATCGTAAGTTACTATCATCCTTCATCGTAAGACATTAGCACCCAAAAACGCGTGCAAACAGGAGAAGGATGTGCTCTTGCATCCCTTCTTCATTCGCATCGACTGGTCGCGCATTGAGGCCAGGGACGTGCAGCCGCCTTTCAAGCCTAAGATCGTAAGTCATCGTCATTCTTAATAGTAAAGCATTAGGGTTCAAAGTCGCATGAACGCGTCAGTAGCGTTTGGGCCGCGGTCGACTGGTCGCGCATCGAGGCTAGGGACGTGCAGCCGCCTTTCAAGCCCAAGATCGTAAGTTACTATAATCCTTGAACGTAAGACATTAGCGTTCAAAGTCGCATGAAGAGAGACGTTCGCAAAACGTTCCTGACCAACAAGCGTCTGTTGACAAGTCATTATCGTCCTTGAGCGTAAGTCATTAGCGTTCAAATTCACAGGAACAAGATTGCGTGAGTTTTTTTTTCTTCTGCAATATAGCTTCGTGAAAATTCTTATAGCCAGTATCAAACCGCAACAGCCAAGAAATAAAATAGCCGTTTTATTAACCTATGCCAAGCCATAAGAGACCAGAGACTAACTTTTATTGACTAAAGCCTTGATCACACGTACCGAGTAAACGGGCGAGACAGTAAAATGTTTACTCGGTCGACACAGTTGGGTGAGCGAGTCACATACTCGAGCGCTCGGCCGAGCACTCGGCGAAATGTTAATACACACCGAGTACTCGGCCGAGAGCACTGTCTCGCCCGTTTGCTCGGTAGATACGTGTGATCAAGCGCTTAACCTTACGCCGGTATTCACAAACATTACTATGAGGTCTCACAGTGCGCGTGGACGCAAAGGGTGACACACGAACCAATCACAGAGCTCTATTCAACGCTGCGCGTTCGATTTGCTGCTTCACTTAAGCAAGCATCGTTTGTGAATACGGGCGTTGATATCAGTTAGAAACAGGATAAGTTTTTTCTGGACCAACTACCGACACTAAATTGACATTATAACCCCAAAAACTTAAGTTTTTAACGTTTTGCTATTTGTGTTTACCCAGAAACACCGCAAGGACGTGTCGAACTTCGACAAGCAGTTCACCCAAGAGAAGACGGAGCTGACGCCGACGGACAAGCTGTTCATGATGAACCTCGACCAGACCGAGTTCATGGGATTCTCCTTCCTCAACCCCGAGTATGTGCAGCACGTCTGAACCGACGAGGTGAGAATTTATTCAATGTATTTGGACGAAAAAGACAATGCCGGAAATAGGGATGTTTCCTGGGTCAAAAAGCAAGAGTTTTAATTAATCCGTCAGTTAACTTATCAAAAAATACTCTACACGTATTTTTCACTTTTTCAAACTAATGAAAATTTAAAGAGATAAAGCGCGCCAAAGTTCATAAGAAGAGGCCCGTGACGTCAATGCGTGCATAAAAGTGCCGCACGTTGTGACTTCGTGCGGAACTTCAACGCACCATAACTATGTAATTATTTGTTAGATTGACAAATAAAAATATACGTGTCCAATATTTTTTGATATTAAACATTACGGACTAAAAAAATTTTTTTAGGCAACTAGCCTCCATGTTTTTTATTGCGCTGATTCTGCTCCACACTGATGGCTGGAGCCTATAATGTATGGTATTGTTTGTTTACACATACAATGTCACTATTTTGTTGCAATTTCTTACAAAACTTGCGCGCAGAAAGCAAATCTAGTATGTAAAATCATCAAACTTCTAATGCTCGTAACTCAGTTCAGACTGAGTTTAGAGGTATACATGTCATAGTAAGTTTGGTTTATTACACTATTTTGTAATTCAAAAAAAGACGCCACCTTCCATACAAAATCTGGCATTGCCATTTGATTACATTTTACATAAGTTTCCTCATTATGGCGCCTTCAAATTAGAGGCATTTAGGAAGAGCTGAGGCTTGAGTGGTGCCACTATGGCACTGTTTTCATACAATTTCATCGCGTTTGGCACGGTAATGGCGCTGCTACTGCGACTTGTATTGCGATTGCCTCGTCTTGGCAAGGTAGGAGCCGTCCAAACCGTAGTTTAAAATTTACAATATTATGGAAAATGGATGTTTGTCACTCGGTAGTTCAACAAAACGCACTGATTTACTACGATGACTGTGGCGTTCGCGCCACCGCTGTTTGACGTGAGAAGATGTTGCGATGATTCAAGCATCAGGCGTTAGGCCTGAACAACTTCTGTAATGTGCGAGAAACTTTTTACTACATATTTATTTCGTCAACTAGACTTTTTATTTAGGCACAGAAAAATGAAAAAAGAGAATCACCTACAAGTAAGTTGTACGTGTTTAGGGCGGAAACATCTTCTGTAGGCCTAAGATGCGCGCCGCGATAAGCGTTTATCACGTCACGTTTTATCAATTTTACGCGATAAGCCGATAGCATAGATTTTATCACGGCGCGCATCCTTGCCCGGCTGTTCAGTGTTCACTGTCAAATGACAGACGTGTATATGAGATAGCATTTCTTTTTCTAATGTAGCACATTTGAGGATAAAATTATACAAACCAATTTTCTTCTTGCAGGGTTGAGCCGCTCTTCCAACAATACTGAAGCTGACTTAGCACTCGCTGCCATCGCTCCGAGGCGAGGGTATCTCTCCATCTGTCGACTGTCTCTGTCACTCTCACGACGCCAGTCGTTCGCTATCTCGTTCATTCTCGACTGTAAGCTACGTTTCATTCGGAACTGTATTTCCAGTGTTCTCATGAATGGGGATCGATGAGCATATGATAACAAAAACAACAAAAAAAAGCTCATTCCCGTTTACTTTTAAATTCTAAGATTCTTCTTCAACATTTACTTTTCATATCCATCCAATACGACATGACTAAAATAAGTTTAGTTCCATATGGTTATGTATTTTCGCAATAATTTGTTTGTGTACAATAATATTGCAATGTAATGTCTCAACGAATTTCGCAAAGCAATACTATTAAATATTGACACGTAATTTTAAGTTAGTAGCTCTCTAATTTGTGTGTTAATTATTGACAGCTTCTCGTTTGTTTTTTGTTTTAGAATCTCGATTTATCTCGATTTTAGTGTCAAGGATATATCATAATCATGGGGCCACTCGGTTAACTTAGTGAATACGATATCGCTCATACGGCTCGCGACTTTTGTCGAAATAGTTCGTGATTTCTGTGGGCGTTTGCTTAACAGGAATTGCGAGGCTGTGTACATCTCATTTTGTTATTTCTCATCTCCTATCACATATCAGTGTTAATGTAAATAGAATAATCAATGTCGTGTCGTGTGGATGGTGCTGATTGATACGTTTTGGATGCCAGTTTTCCAAGGAGCTTAAAACCTTCTATTTTATTTTCTTAATTTATTTGAAGCTCATTTATATTATTGTTAGAATCTCGACATTTGTTATTTTGTAGTTAGCAATCAATTAGTTTATTTGTTGACATTGGCCTTTTCCTCAATGGCCAAAGATATTATTTACAGTTCGTCAATCGGTCTGCGTATTAAGTTTTAATTGTCTATGGTCCATTGTTATTATTTTGTTACGTTTTGAAATAGTTTTGCTATATCGTGATTGCATTTTGTGATGTATGATCTAATCATGTGGATGTGTGCGTTTATTTCACTATTCGTGTGTAAGGGTGTGTGATGTTAGTATGTGTGAGTATGTAATTTCATTTTGATTCGCGTTGTGGTCTTATTAGACGGTGTGTTATAAAAATATTTTAATTTTTAAATACCTATAATTTTAATCTATACCTAAATGTATTCGTTGAAATAGAATTATCACTGCCCAAAACAATAAAAATAATAGAAAATCTTATGTTTGGTTGCCTGCTGACATTTTATCATATTAAAAAAGAGTGAAAGTATCTATCTAATTAATGATTTTCTTTTCTTTTTCCACACTTTCTAATAAGATGACAAATTGTTTTAAACAGCTAAACGCTGTCGTTTGTCTACTAAAATAGCCTTACTAACTTAATATTATTAATATCGCTAATAAAAATACATTTAAACGTCGTTACACTCTTACTAGATTAAAATGTGAATTTTAAATGAAAAAGCATTCGATTCTAAAGTGAATTGTAATAAATGACATTTAGGTGTTTTAATTTTTAATGTAGGTATATGCATTTTGGGTATGAAATAGTTGCTCTTCGTAATATTAAATTAAATTATTGAATATTTTACGCTAGGATAAGTTGTTTTTAGCTAGATCTCCGTTCGTCAAGTGTTTCGTATTCAGCGGTTAACGTTATACCTATCTAGATCAAATATTAGCACTAATTTCTATTCTTTATTAGGCTTAAGTATTAATTAATAATTTAAGAATATTTTTATGTGCTGGCTCATTTTCATTAAACAAGTAAATAAAGATAGAGAGTGAAATACTCTGAAAAAGGTTCTGTATCCTAAAATAAACATGATTTTATAGATAAAATCAAGAGAAAACAAAAGTTTAGACAACTCAAAAGAGTTAAATAATCGCCTACGCATCTATCTGACTGACAATTTCTTGCGAAGTAGCACTTATTACAAAATCGTATAAAGGTGCTACTGTATCAAATCAGCTGTATCAAATAAACGGCTCTATGACGCCTTCTAAAAGTAACATTCAAAATTTTACTGAAAATGAGCTAGCGATATACATTCAACAGCTCATAACCCTACCTCAAACTGTCAATTTCTCAATTGATGATTGAAAATTGAACCGTATTATCCAAGATATAAAGTTCATAATCTATTGGACAATTCTTCACTTTGTGGTAGGTTGATGCGCTGTTGAATGTACGTTATTATAAATCAGCTGGAGAGGGAGACAATGTAGCACCCCACCCGCACTCCCCGCGACGAGAACTACCTTTTTATATCACAAGGGTAATTTTTTGACAGATACGGCAGCAGAATTAATATGCTGTAGGTAAGCACAGAAAAAGGGGCCTTCTTTCCCACTAGGCACTTAGTGCACGTGTCCAGGGCCCCGCGATCGTAGAGTTCCCTCTAAAAACAATTTTAAACAGTAATTTTAAAAAGTTCTACAATTGTACAATTTTTCTCTTTTTTTAATGGCCAGGGCCCCGCCCTAGTAGGATAAAAACTGCCCTGAGCATCACTTCTATAGGCCCAAACCGTTGTGCTTAACTACATAAATGGATTACATCTTAAGCTTAGGATTCACAAAATAGGAAAGTAAGTAAAACAAATAGAACAGAACGGGTTATTTCGTTGTTCCTAGTTATTAATTTGACGAACAAATATCACCCAGTCACAAGAAAATAATATGATTACAAGGGGGGAAGATTGTCTACTAAATAAGTAACTTAATTTAATCTCACATCAGTATAAAAATCCTTTGTGATATAAAAAAGTGCAGATCCACGTACGCTTAATGCACCAACCCGAGTCATTCTCACGTACGGAATACTGTGTAGGGAAACTATGTATACCTACTTAAAAAAATGTTGAAAATAAATAGAAAATACGCCCAAAACGTTATTGAAATTCAAGATGGAATTCCAATACCAAGACCAATCAGACTTGAATCATTCCTAAAATATCTCTTCTAGAGACTCGCTTAAATCATAGTGATTTGGGGCTTTATAAATTTTTTTAACATATCCTTGGTTCTAAAAAAAATTGACAGCAAAATATTGATTCTCCTGCAGTATTCTGTACGTGGATCTCTGCCCAGCTAAGATTCTCGCTTGATGATTCGCCTAACATAATATTTATGGATAATAATGTATTAATGGTGTAACAACACAAGAAAAATAGCAAAAAAAAAACAATGCGAATGGTATTTTGACAAATAGGACAAAAGTATTATTTTTTTGTACTACTCGACTTGTCCTTTGTAAAGGACACTAACATTTATGACATGAAATAAAAATAAATAAAATTCTTGTGTTGTCACTGTTTAAGAGAAGCTTAACATCAAGGTAATTGCACGTTACTCAACTCTAATGAGTCACTATCATGAACATTTTAATCAACAGGGCTGTTCATTATCTATATTTTCGTGATTTCGGCTACATGTTATCTACCACTGCTGCTCTGAGTGAAAATGAGGGATGCAGCCCTGCTTACGCAGATATTTAAACAAACAAGCATTTATTCCAAAGTATTTTTATTTTATATGTAATTATCTTGAGATGTGTTTATTTATGATATTTGACTCAAAAGAGTTGTCAGTATTTCTTTAGTGAGCGTTGATAGTTTAAATGTTTATATTATAACTTGTTTTTTTAGAGTCTGCTAGCTTACGCCTTTTACATCCTTAATTTACTATGACTTGGTCAGTTTAGACATATAATAAATTAATAAAAAGTTTATGAAACTTGTAGCTATGTATCTAACCATATATTCACTATTGCTAAGATCTCACTTGTAAATAGTCATAGACATAACTCCTTTAACACTGGTCATTATTGTCAATAAGTATTAAAGAAGTATTGCGAGGTAAATAAATATAGCGCTTTTTAATCATCAGCTTTAGTGCTTTTTAAGTTATTTTAGTGATTTATAATAAGTAACTCGGCTCACTTTTACTAAAATCATGATACAAAAAGTGTGTTAAAACGTTTAAATACTGTTACGATCAATTTGAAATCATATTATTTATGTTTTAAGTTTAACGCCTACTATACATAGTGAGCTGAAGTGACCGAATACTGTACCGTCACCCTAAAGTTAAGACTTAGTTTACCTGTCATGTAATGGAAACGCCATTGGAGACATGGTTTATGGGATGTTATTATGATTGGATAACCTTATAAGAACAAATGATCTGATTGATACCGTTTCGTCAATGACAGGTGAATTAATAATAATTATTATTTTTAGTCTTAACTTTGAATTCGAATATGTTAAGATCAGCCGTTTAATCAATTTATCAACCAGGAAACTACTAACTGCTTGATATTATTAGGTATGGTATGTGTTCAGTGAGAATTAGTTCGTAATGTATCTTGATATTATTTAGCATAGATTAATTAGCGTTAGGTTGCTCTTCCTAAGTCATGTGTCCTTCTGAAAGGCTTCTATAATGGCGGAGTGACGTCACGTGGGGTAGAGGCGATATTTTGTTAGCAGCGTTCAATTTGAGATTTGTTTTTGTCAAATGCGCTATAAAGTGGCTGACTGACACTGTTTTACAACATTTACTGGGGTTATTCTTACATCACGATATTGTGTGGCCACTTTCATCAGTCGGAAATTTTGTACGCTGCAATGAAATACTGTCTCTACTATGTGCATAATAGAATGAAAACGATTGTCATAATACTGCCAGGTGTATATTAACATTTGGTAGTCAAAATGTTACTACTTAATATAATATTGTATTTAAATTATTAACGTAGGTTTATTGTCAAAGTATTTAATGTTATTAAAAGGTTAGTAATATTTAACCTAGCTGTTATCTACCGTTTACAGCTTAGATCTTGGTATTTAAAATAGAAAATAATGTCTGTATATACTTGGCAGTATTAATGTTATGTAGAGATTGTGTGAGGCTAAAAATCAGACAAACAAAAATGTTTTACTGATTTTTTAACCTGTAAACTGAGACGAGAACGTAAAGTTATTCTGGTCGGTTACGATATGAGTTAAAATGTCACGTTCGTGGCTTGCTCAGTGTAGTTATGTATTACAGCAAAACACGAACGAGAATCATTTTCATCAATATTACCGACCAAAAAGAAAGGGGTGATGTTCATTCTTGCCATTAAACTCACCTGTAGCTTGCTACAGCATTGTGTACGATCTATAAAGTGGAGGCTACATTGGCCGCTTTGGCGACAGACCGCGGACTTGCGAGCCACAACTCCAAGGTACTGTCATCTTAGCGCCCAGTCTACGCCCAGCTTTATTTCTCAACAACCAAGCCAGCTTGTTTTCTGTTCTACATACGTCTCATACAAGTATAGGCCTAATTCACTTTTGTTAGATTAAGCCCGTAGTTAATACAGGACTTAGTATACTTTTTATTAAATATTTTACTAATAAATATTTGACGTGTTTAAAGTTTTACAGTGACTTGTTGTCGCCGATTGCACCTTCACCTGTGCCAAAATATATTTGTAAATATTTTTCCATATAATTAGACGTATTCTATTGAATATTATGATATGGTTACCAATCATTTTGTGTAGACACCAGCGTTATATTATGTATCTTTTTGCATATTACTGGTGTATACTAAAACCGAATTCTTATTGTTTGTCAGAAACGAATTCTGAGGTGACTGCACAGTGAGACCCATAGATCAATTGGAGGTCCAAGGCTTCCCAAGTAAATAAACTTATTATAATAACTAACTTTCATAACACGTGATATTATGAGCCCTCATAATGCGCCTTTACCTCAGGAACTGAATCTGATAAGCAGTAACTGCTATATAAAATACCACCTAAACGAAAGTATTAATTAAAACCGATAAACGGTTACGCCATAAACCGCCATAACAATACTATAGTAACATGCAAAAGCTATTTATCCGACCAACAGTATGGTTACGCATTTTTCCTTTAATATAATTAAGTAATCACTCCGATAGTACCTAATGATATATTTATGCATTTTGTTTGCTGATATTTAAAACTGTAAGACACAACACCAATTAAGTTTTGATATTCAAGCGACCACAGTGGGAACTTTTCTGTCTCTTTGAGGTCGTAAGGGTTATAAGAACGCTGCTGAAACAATACTTGAGGCTAGGTCATTTAATGCCGTCGAGGGATATTGTTATTTATGGATAAGGAGACAAGTGACAATATCCTATTTCTAATTAAATCTCAATGAAATGCAAAAAAAGGCGTAGCAAATTAATTACGATTTGTTGGTCCATTATTATTCACCCAAATGCTGCGAGATTGCGTGATTTGTAATGGCCAACATTCGTAAAATTCATGTCCTTCCCATAGTACTTTAGGACATGCCTATATAAAGGACATTATGTAACTTTTAAAATAATACTAAAGGAAGATACAGAAAAGTTCCCATTTAATGGATAGCTTGATCGATACATAGTTATATTTCTGTAAGTTTACGAATGTATCCACATTTATTGTATTCTAAGGCACGTTGCAACTGCCTCTGTGATATATCATCCATTCACGGACTACCTTGAAGAGCTTCTAGATCTAAATATAGTGCAAAATGCCAACAATATTTTAGAATAATTAGTTTAAAAAATTTAGAATCTTTGATGAATCTCTACCAACTGTAATCTCAATGTAGAAAATATTACAAGAACCAGAGCGTTTTGGGAAGTTAGTATCTGAATATTCTTATAATGACTGATTTTACAACAGTTATATTTTTTACCTTCTACTTTTACAAGTAAATTCCGAAACCGTTGCATTTTCTGCGACATTTGTGCCAAAGGAAGAACATTCAAAATTCAAGTCCAGGAGCTCTCCAGGGTAGATTATTTTAATAATCAAAAGTGCACTTTCAATCACATTAACTTACTGTCGCTCCTAGGGTTATAACTTTTAAATTTTAACCGGTTGTGTGTGGAAATTTGATTACCAAAGCTCTTTATTATAATAAAAATTTCTGCACATGATCTTTTATGACATTTTATTACATATTCTATTATTATAGTGTAGTACAGTATTTCGATTTGTAGCATTACATTCGTCATTTTGAATGTATGAGACTTTCCAATTTGGGCGGGAGATTTAGATGGGAGCACCGGAGATTGTCTCTGGTTGAGGGTTTCGGATGTAAATGTCGATTGTACTCAACAATATAAATTTCTAATCCATTAGATTTGTGTGTTTTATTTCGATACTATCAAATATTCCTTTTAAATCTAATTTAATGGTACATATTCATAAACACAGCGGTAGATGGTACTGTATTAATATTAAGTATATATTAACAACTCTATGTCCCATAGTCACAGATATTTAGCCCAAAAACAATAAGATTAAGGCGGTTATCACACTGCGCCGCGCTCCGCCGCGGAGCGCGTGATTTTCATATAAAAAATCACGCGCGCGGACGCGTTGTCACTGTGAAGTGCCGCGCGTGTTTTCTATACTAACTAAGGTACTTGCATACAATGAAAAAATCTGTCGCCCCGCGCTCCGCGACGGAGCGCGGCGCAGTGTGATAACCGCCTAATAAGGTCTTGTAAATAAGGTACCTACGATCCAGAATCCATGATAAAAATCAAATGGCCACTTAAAATTAGGTACTTTTAAAGAGACTCACAATTTTGGTTGGTATGACAAAAATAATTTTATAACTTGATTTCCTTTTCACCTCTCATTACTTGACTCAGCATCTGGTTGCAAAGCGCTGCGTATGGATTGAGTTCCACTACCTGCAATGATTTAAACAGTTTTTTGTTTCTTTAATAAAAAAAAATAGTGACTTGGCAAACGCACACAGTAAATTAATTTGCCAAGTACTTAATTTAAATAATAATAAAAATTAAATAACTATTTTACTTGTCTGAAACGGTTAATAAGTTGTTTAATTGACTTGGTAATAGTCGCGATTTGACAACTACTAAAAAGTACGTCAATTGACTTGTGTGTCGACTACCCCACCCAATAAAAATCTGTTGTGGTTTGACCGTCGCGCGTAACACCCTATTTTGGGGCTACCTTTTTTAGATAAATTAGTTCGGAACCTAATTGTTTTAAATTCTTTCCTGATGCATCCCATAACACGGTCTCGTTCTGACCTGTTTCTTCGCGAACCCGCTGCCCAACTCAGCCGCGGCGGCGAAATCTGCGCGCGCTGCGTCGTCTAGCCCGCGCTTGCGTAGAAGCACGCCGCGCTGACAAAGCGTGAGCGCGCGCGCACGGCTCTTGCTGCCTTCGGTTAGTTGCAGCGCGTGGTCGAGGTCTGCCATCGCTTCTGGAAGACGAGAAGTGAAAAATGTAAGCGAGTTCTCAGTCTTCAAAATGAAAGTAAGTGACCTTTATTATTATCTTTTAAACATGGCATAAATTATGGAAATGGCAATTTATTGGCCCAAATGTAGGGTAGGTCTGCAGAATTACAAAGTTGCTCTTTCCACTCTTAGGAGTAAATAAATGCTAGGCAAGCAATAAAATTTTAATTCACATAAAATTAAATAACTTTGCTTCTTCAGTGACGGCAAGCTTCTCAAGTTAACTAATAATACCCATCTGTCCCCGGGGACAACGAAAAGTTAATAATTTTATTTAATTCCCTCTGTCTCCTGTAATGGGGATCAACCAATGGGTACAACTGGAATACTAACAGGTTAAAGTCAAACCTTCGATTACCTACTCACCTACTTAAGTAGTCGTTTTATGAAACGTGAAGGAAGCTCTCTAAGATAAGTTTAAAGGTCAGCATTTCCAGTTTAAGTAGGTACTTATCTTTGAACAACAGAAACAAAAGTAAACTTGACGACTTACCATCATCCTTCTGCATAAGCCGCAACAGCTGTGCGCGGTCATTATACGCGGCGGCTCTGGCTGGTGCGGCCTCCACCGCCTTATTCAGCAGCTGGAACGCTTCATCCAGCTTCCCTGCCTCTGTTAGTTGCACGCCCTGTGTGCACAGCGCAGTAGACTGCTTGACCTCGTCTGTAGCTGGCTCTGAACAGATGAATGTAAATTTTAAACTTTCGCGCTACAGNCAATCTTTTTAAATCTAATTTAATCGTTGGAGGTATCTCCATAAATACAGCGGTAAATGGTACTGTAATAATAGATAGCAACTCTATGTCCCGTAGTCACAGACTATCAACAATAAAATCAATAGGTCTTGTATGACAAACCATGATAAAAATCAAATGGCCACTTAAAATTAGGTACTTTTAAAGAGACTCACTATTTGTGGTAAAAATAACTTTATAACTTGATTTCCTTTTCACCTCTCATCACTTGACTCAGCATCTGGTTGCAAAGCGCTGCGTATGGATTGAGTTCCACTATCTGCAATGATTTAAACAGTTTTTTGTTACTTTAATAAAAAAAAATAGTGACTTAGCAAACGCACAGAGTAAATTCATTTGCCAAGTACTTAAATTAAATAATAATTAATATTAAATAAACTTTTTAATTGGTTTGAAACAGTTAAAAGTTGTTCAATTGATAGTTTTGACAGCTAATAAAAAGTACGTCAATTGACTCGTGCGTGTGACATCTACCCCCATTATTATTCATACAGTTATTCAGTTGAAGTCTGACCGTCGCGCGCGTAACACCCTATTTTGGGGTTACATTCGTTCGGAACCTAAGTAATTGTTTTGAAAAAGTTTTCCCTGATGCACCTCGAAACGGTACTCTCTCGTACTGACCTGTTTCTTCGCGAACCCGCTGCCCAACTCAGCCGCGGCGGCGAAATCTGCGCGCGCTGCGTCGTCTAGCCCGCGCTTGCGTAGAAGCACGCCACGCTGACAAAGCGTGAGCGCGCGCGCACGGCTCTTGCTGCCTTCGGTTAGTTGAAGCGCGCGATCGAGGTCTGCCATCGCTTCTGGAAGAAGAGAAGTGAAAAATGTTAGCGAGTTCTCAGTCTTCAAAATGAAAGTAAGTGACCTTTATTATTATCTTTTAAACATGGCATAAATTATGGAAATGGCAATTTATTGGCCCAAATGTAGGGTAGGTCTGCAGAATTTCAAAGTTGCTCTTTCCACTCTCGGGGGTAAATGCTAGTCAAGCAATAATATTTTAATGCACATAGAATTAAAATAACTATGCTACTTCCGTGACGCGGCAAGATCCTCAAGTTAACTAATACCCATCTGTCCCTGGGGACAGCGCACGGGGACAACGGAAAGTAATTTTAATAATTTTATTTTATTTCCTCTGTCCCCTGTAATGGGGATCAACCAATGGGTACAACGGGAATACTAACAGGTTAAAGTCAAACCTTCAATACTCACCTACTTACTCGTTTTATGTGAAAGAAGCGCTCTAAGATAAGATAGGGGAAATGTTAAGGCCAGCATTTCCAGTTTATTTATCTTTGAATAACAGACACAAAAGTAAACTTGACGACTTACCATCATCCTTCTGCATAAGCCGCAGCAACTGCGCGCGGTCGTTGTACGCAGCGGGCCTGGCTGGTGCGGCCTCCACCGCCTTATTCAGCAGCTGGAGCGCTTCATCCAACTTCCCTGCCTCTGCTAGTTGCACGCCCTGTGTGCACAGCGCAGTAGACTGCTTGACCTCGTCTGTAGCTGGCTCTGAACAGATGAATGTAAATTTTAAACTTTCACGCTACAGATCGTTCATCCACGAAGACGCGCCCCACCAATTTTGGTCGAGGGAAGCGCGGGGTGCGGGGAGTTTGATCCGAGCAAGCCGAGCGTCATTATTGTAGTGTGCATATGCACTCTGGATAATTTAGCGTGCACCGATAGCACTCAAACATTAGCGAAAGAATGGTGGGGCGCGTCTTCGTGGATGAAACGAACTATACCGTAGCCGAAACTGAGAAGCCGTAGGTACATTTGAATCTGAGAACAATAATTACGGGTCTAGTTATGCTTGTGACACAGCTGTAACTGAAAATACTCATAAACTTACTAAGTACCTACTTAAGGAGGTAATAATTATAATAACGACACTACGAACTCTACTAGAGGGAGGGTAATTACCTTGGCCTCAGCTAGTGCCTCGTCGATAGATCAAATTATACGCAATTAATATTTTAGTTTGCAAAGTAGGTAATTTAATTGCTACCTAGGTACCTATAGGAAAATTATAGGTATAGGTAAGTATTTCTTACGTAGGTACTTATATTTCACACACGAATAAATTCACTGTAGTCAACAGTAGATACCTTATATAGATTTAAAAAATACTTTCCTGCCTAGCTGCAGTCTAAAAATAATATCTTGCTAATACTCGTAAGTAGTATCACCGCGAAAATAACAAACACTTACCAACTTCTTCTTCAAAATTATCGCCATCATCAACGACATCCCCTATAGTTGCCGTTGGATCAAAAATACTTCTCAAAACTGCTCTGTCCCTTTCACTCAAATTATCCATAGTTATTTTACGAATTAGTCCGCTACACTTGCGTTCAACACAAAGTATCACTTTGAACTAAAACAGGAATCTAAAAACCCGTTTCCTTTAAGATTATGCGTTACATTCCATGGACCAATGTTTGTCTCAAGGCTTTCCGCTCATCATTGACTATCGAACCAATGTTTGATCAAACATGCAAATTGAGGCAACCGGTCTCCGGCTGGTTTGTTTACTAATAACTAGCTAAATTAATGACACGTTATCAGAGCGACAATCTTGTAGATTTTAATCTGAAGTTACGATTCGTGATGCAATAATATTAATAAGAGTAATTTTCATCTAGTATTGGTGGTTCACATCACAGTGGAACAACGGTCAGTGAATGCAGGTTTGATTCGTGCTATATTTTATCTAGCACTCTACAGTAGTGTAGGGCTAGGACCTACATAAGATCTTCCTTACTCGAGAGCGTAGGTATAGAATTTGAGGTAAGATTAATGTCAAAGTAAAACGCAAAATATTTTTAACAATTTTAATAGTTTTCGGTTAAAATATAAATTTAAAAACTAAAAATACCTATTCCTTAAAAAGTAACGTAGAGAATTACATGAATCGGCCAGTGTAGTGGGAACATCAGACATAAAAATATTAAAAGGAAGATTTTAAGTCTTTTGAGAGTACTTGCATGGTTTCTTTTTTCCACTCAGTAAGTATTTTTCATTGAAACTACTTCGCATATCTTATCCAAATAAATGTGTCATTTATATGCAATTACGTTTTTTATTGTTACAAAAATACGATAAACTGAGCCTGACTCTCTCTAAATACAGTAAAGTTGCGTGGGGCATATCATGTGTTAGTAAGTGTTTTAATAAGGATTACATTTTTGTGGCGCAGTTAAACTATACCCAAAACTAATCGAATCAGATAGTGTACAATGTGTTCGCGCTTATGTTCAGTTCGTGCATAGTATGACTGCGCCATAAGATTTGCCAAAAATTCCTGGTACCTACTTGAGTCTCAGTACTGGTACTGCAGTCTTATCAACTGTGTACCTACTGACAGATGCGATGTAGACAGAAGAGTGGTTCCATAAGAAAACATGATTATACAGAACTAAACCAAAGCACACACAGTAACACTAGTACCTAATAATAACAAATCTTAAAAGTGATAGCACTTTCAGTTGGATTTTTAATTCCAATTACATGATTATTTCTAACTTCGAATTGAGTTATACACGTAATAGTGGCGATGAGTTTTAAGCTAGAACTCATCTTAGTTTTTCTGTATTCACAAAGTTAGTGTTAGAAGAAGACACCTAAGTTAGTAACTATGTAGAGAACCTACTTAGCGTCTATACCTATTATGTACGTGACAAATAAATGCACTCTTGATTTTCGGTGACAAAAATCGTTAACAAAAACTTAAAATAGGAACTGAAATATTAGTTACTAAGGTGGATATTTTTTTATCTGGAATTAAAAATCCGACTTGCTAGTGCATTACAACTATTATAAGGTAGGCAAAACATAAAACCGTAAGAAGCATTTTCAATGAAAATAAATAATTAAGAAAAACAAACCTACTTCTAACGGTAAAGAAGGCAAAGTCTGATGGTAAACATTTACTTGAATATCTAAATCTTATGAAACCAAACTTGAGCGTAATAACTAAACATGTCCCACATTAAAACCAATAATGTGAATATTTCATCAATATCCGCTTTAAAACACAGAATTTGATCATTATAATTAATCTTGTTAGTTTTGGGATCAATGTCTCAAATTGCGGGTACTTTGCGTTTTGGTACATATTATTGGTGTTTATAGGTCAAACAAAATTGAACTTTACATTAAATACACAAAGGTAATAATTGCGCAACACGCAATTTGTTGTGCCAACATCGTAATATATGGGGCTAGTGCCCGTTTTCACCATCAATCCCTAATTCTTAAGTGACCCCTATGAAAACTAAATTCCTGTCATGTTGTCCATGGATTAATGGTGAAAACGGGCATAAGTGCTTTTTCCTGTGATGCGGATTTCGGCACGCATGCGGATCTGGTCCTTGTGCGTGTAAAGTCACGCTGCAGGTTGCACGCAGGACAAAGATTTCGTATTGAGTGCCCGCAGCCAATCCAGACCGCATAATAGCATGTATGAAATAATGAAATGCGGGCAACCCGCATGTATATTAAATCCGCACGCGTGCCCAGATCCGCATGACAGAAAAAGGCACTGACAACACATTTTGAATTTTACATTCCTTGGTCACATCTTTAAAGTAACAAACAGTAATATTGCCTACCCATATAGTTACAACACCACAATAGGCATTTGGTCTCCCTTGTTACAATTTTTTGCTCCCCCATTCACAATTTGAAGAAAAGGCAAACATAAAGGCAACTAGCAAAAGCAATAAATACGTTAATTGGCACTAAAATTTGTTCATAAAGTATGAACCGATTTATTTACAACACAGTATAGTAAAAAACATTTCCTAATTTAGTTACCTATCTATCAATGACCATCTTAGCTTGTGTTCTCTGTTTGTTACCAAATAAATACCTTATATTTAGACTTACTATCAAACCGTGGGGTCATTCTGTCATAATGCAAAAATATATATTTTCTCGTCACAAATCAAATCCCATTATAGATACCTAATACCAGTAGCGCCTATGTCCAATTTTATATTTTACTTGTTTAATTTATTTGTCTCCCAATTAATTTAAGCCCTGCCTTTAACTTTAAACTATTACAAATCTATCTCATTTATCTAAAAAACTAGAATGTACTTTTTAACTTTTAACGCGTGGTCAGATGACCTGTAACATTTTGTAAGCTTGAATTATCGCAAAATGTACTTATTCCCTTTTAATTCGATGCCTCATAACCACTTATTATGAATTAAAGCCCTGTTTCTCGGTACATCGTGATTGCAAGTCAATCTTGGAAATTATTAGTTTTTAAGAATTTAACTCTTCTAGTGTGGATAACTAAGAAGTATAGAAGGAAAACGCGCTCCGAACCGAACGATAAATTACCGAGCCCTTCGCTTTAAACCATGGTTAACGGCCAGTTAGGGCTCGTATAGTCTTAAGGGCATTCATACGCGTACCCAATCATGATTGTGTCGTTAGTCTGCTACCATTAATCCAAAGACAAAAAAAATTCTAGTGTAGATGTAGGTATAAATTATTAAGCAAACAACAACTAATGAGTTTACCTTCTATGCATATATTCTCATGCCCTAAGCAACAGGCAAATGGTTATTACATATTTGTGACATAAGTTTCAAGATAACAAATTATTTTCCCTATAAAAAGGTCAAGATTTTCATATAAAATCTATTAAACATACAATATAGTCACCTCAGAACCACTAGCTTCTGATAACAGGTATCCAAAGAATTCTCAATCACTATTATAACACTATTTTTACTATTATAACATTTTAGATCGGATAAGGCTTGTAATAAGATGATTATTCTATATCACAATCCTCAGAGTTACAATATGTAAACTTACTTACTTAATTACTTATTGGTTTACACAGCCCAACTGTTATTTTGACACAAAGTATGTTTATTTGATATGTTTAGGCTTTGGCACCCAAAATTTGGGTGCTACAACAGTAAATCAAATCACTATTAATTAATTGGATTTAAAATGCAATCTTTAGTATTAATTGATATACAGACACTAAATTGTACATAGCAGTGATCACAATTGATCGAAAACTGATCACAGTGAAATTAGGACTTCATTGAAAAAAACAACAGAATAAAATTAAAAGTGGATGATCCACAGCAAAGATTAACATGTAACTATTTTTTTTATTAACTTACTGTTGCAGGCCTTAAGTGTAAAATAAACTAGGACTAGGAAATATGGCCTAAAACCATAGGACAACATTTATAATTGTCGTCAAAATAACTGTCCGGTATCACCATACATACATCTCAGTCACTCAAGATACCGATACCACATTTGTGTAGAACTCACGTTTCATGCTGTCCGCGGTATCAACTTGAGCTTCGTTCACACAGACGCAGTTACAGCATCAAAAACTTAATAAAATAATATAGCTAAAAATATACAAATAGCAAGTATCTTACCCTAAAAAATATACTATACAATATAGAAAAACTGGATATAAAAACCTTTTGTTTAAAATTTGAAATTGATAATTGTATGCACACATTCATTCATAAGTATGAATTTTATATTAATCATAGTAATTTTTTCAATGTTTCAACAACACATTTGTCATTTCAACCTTCAAAGGTAATTACTAAGAAAATTATGTCAGCTGCATAAATAAATAAAATTATGCATAATAATACTTAGTTGATGTACATACAATTTTGTTGAGTGTTCAGTTCATAAGACTCATTGATTAATATCTTCTATAATGATGTAGTAATCAAACGGTATCACAATAGATGGGGTTGTTCCCTGAAATGAGCACTCCTAATTTCCATGTTTTTACCATGTAACTTGTCATTTAGTAATATAGTATTATTAAAGAGTTAATTACCCCCGTGTGTGGTGTTTTAGGGGTAAAACAGTGCTTGTCTGGTAAACAGTATCATATTGATGAAAATTCATTAAGATAAGTAAATTTCTAATTACTGTTTATCTCATAATTGCCATGCACTGTTGGTTCATGAGGCAAATAATTAACCTAACCCTCATTTTTTAAGAATTGAATTAAAATTGTCTAATTTCAATTTTTTTGCACTAAGTTCTTGTTTTCAAAGTAGGCCTTTTATATTATTACAAATGACAAATTATATGACATATTTGGTACATAATTCATACATTATAGTCATGAACAACAATAATTTAATTTAATTTCAAACATTTCCAGCATAGGAAAGTTGTTTGGATGGAACTTATTGAAATTGTGAGTAATATTAGTATGGTAAAACATATTTTGGTAATGCTACCTTCGCACAAAGCCTTTTGTGCCGTCTGGGCCTCTCGGTGTACGTATGACAAGTACTCCTCGCGGAGGTGGGGATGGGAAGACCCCAGCTGGGGTGGCGCCTGGTGGTAACCGTGCTAGGACCTTACGTTCCTTACCTTTGGGATTGTCATTTTGACAGTTTTTACTTTTACCACTAGTATTACTGCTATTTTGATTGTCATTGAGATTATTTGCCTGAAGCTTGTCTTGCAACCGACTTAGGCTGAAATAATAAAAGTATTTTTAATACACGAAAACAAAACTGCAGAAAATAAAATAAAATTTCCATGGACATAACTGTCATTTTAACTACTTGTTGTTGGTTATGTAAAAGATGTGGTTGTTTTAGGTGGTAGTAAATTAAATAACTGTCTTACTTGTCGTCAATAACGTCCTCGGGGCTTCGAGCTTCGCCCAGTATCCTGAGCCGAGCCTCCTGGTACTCTTTCTGTCTTTGTTCGAGAGTTTTGACAGGGCGCGCTCGACTCTCGCCATTCATTTGACCGCTGCCAGAGGACGAGGGTCGCTTCAATATACGAATGGCTGGCTCCGGCATTACGCACTGGGGTCCTATACACGCGTTATCCTCAACTGTAACCTTGCAACCCTTAAGATTTTTCTCAGGCACGCACTCCGGGGACATCAGCTTGATCTTCTGATCCAACTAAAACATAAAAACACCTCAATGAATAACACGTTGGGAGTGAACACTCTACTAAGAAGACGCCAAACACGACGTTAATTAAAGGAAACTTACACCAATTTCGTCCATATCCTCCCAACTTTCACATACGTCAACTTCATCTTGGGCCGCCATTTTGATATATTTTTTTACTCACGTATTAATGTTACCATATTTAAATAATAAATAGTTTTCCATAGACAAATAGATTAATCGAAAAACCGGTTTTTCGTAAATGTGCATAAATCAAGTTATAGTTCCAAAATACTGGACTGTCCTATCGATGACATTGACAGTGGGGCGCCACCGTCAATACCGGATCGCTGGTTCCGATTTTTGCCATGTTGGAAACCATATAGTTGAACGATGGTAGCGCCCCCCTGTCATTGAGTTTGGTGGGACAGTTCAGCGTGGGTCATCTATACATTCACGTTGGTGGCGGGTACTACGTACGACGAAACCTGCTAAATCTCCAGAAAAGAATTTTATTTCAAAAATTCTACGTCCGGCAACCTTACGTCATGTACCGTGTTCAAATAGATCCAGCCCAGAGACGTTACCGGAAACAATTCTTTTTTTACATTTTTGACATTAAAATGACATTCAAAAAATGACATTTCACCACGAGTGATTTGTTGTGGTCGTCGTATTTGGCTTTTGGCAAATTTTAACTAAAAACCAAAGTAAAACCCCAACTAATATGTAAATATCATAGCCCTACATATAAAAATATCAAGGTTTGTATTTGTAGAATTCTATTTATGGAATAACAGAGTTGTGAATATCAATAGGATATTTTAGGTTATGCTTTCATGTGGTGTTTTATTGGTGTTATTATTTTTTTACAGAATACAGTCATGGCTTCGAGATCTTCATTTTCGTCGCCCCTGTCGGCGCTGTCGTCAGTGGATCCTGACGCGGTCCAGTTCTTGATGTTCGACGATGAAGATATCAGGAAACTTAGTATGGTCAAAATAACCAATCCTGTATCCTTTGATGCTATGGGCAACCCTATCTCTGGAGGACTGTACGACTCCGTTCTTGGACCAGCTAGAGACAGGTTTGATTATTGCTCGACGTGTGACAAACCCATGCTACATTGTCCTGGTCATTTTGGCCACATAGAACTGCCACTTGTAGTAATCAATCCATTGTTCCTCAAGAACATTTATAGTCTCTTTCGTATCAGTTGTCTAAAATGCTTCAAAGTTCAAATGGATGACAAGATGAAGGAGCTCCTTATACTGCAGCTAAAACTTATTGATGCTGGCTATGTCACTGCTGCAATGGACTTGTTGGAGATAAAAGATTGTAGCAATGATGGTAACCCGGACCAAGCACACAATCTTATTAAAAAGTATAAAAAGTTACTGAAAAAGAAAGATCCTATCAATGTTGTGTTCCACAACAAAAACACAGATAAACTGCGAAATAAAGTTTTGAATAGCTTTTTCAAAACAATAAACATTGTCAAAAAGTGTGCATTCTGCAGAGACAGGCTAATAAAAATAACTACATCTGAAGGAAGGTTGATGCACAGCCACAATGCCACTGATGCAGACGGCAGCTTCAAAGGTATAAAAATCTTAATGCCAGATGAGATAAAGCGCTATTGTGCTAAAATTGCAGAGAACAATGAAGAAATTTTGGTGAATTGTATACCCATGTTGAGAAATGCAAAAGTTAAGCCTGTCACTGACTTATTCTTCATGGAGGTCATCCCTGTGCTCCCACCATGTGTCCGACCCTGCAATTTCCTTCAAGGCGAACTTATAGAACACCCACAAACCAATGTGTACAAGAGCATCCTCCAAAACACGGTCACAGCTAGAGTTATACTTCAAGTGCTAGCATCAGAAGACCAGCAATCAACCATTAATAACTTGGATAAAAAGCCAAGAGATGCTTATGAGAGTGTGGCAGGTAAATCAGCAGCTGAAAAACTTCATCAAGTTTGGCAAAACTTACAAAAGGATGTGAACAATCTTCTCAGCTGTGATGGTGTCGGACTCAACAGTCAGGGCATTAAACAAATCCTTGAAAAGAAAACTGGTGTGATCAGAATGCACATGATGGGTAAAAGAGTAAATTTTGCAGCTCGCTCTGTTATTACTCCAGACCCTAATGTAGATATCGATGAAATTGGTGTCCCAGATGCTTTTGCTACAAAGTTGACTTATCCAGTGCCAGTAACTGAATGGAATGTTGATGAGCTGAGAAAAATGATTATAAATGGCCCCAATGTTCATCCAGGTGCTGAAAAACTTGAATTTGAAAATGGAAGAATTGTAAGAATCCCATCAGATTCTGTGCAGAAAAGAAAAAGTATTGCCAAAAGGTTGCTGACCCCTGATGAATACAAATCTACAGGCTTGAAAATTGTTCATAGGCATTTAATAAATGGTGACATTATGATCCTGAATCGACAGCCTTCCTTGCACAAACCCAGTATGATGGCTCACAGAGCAAGAATACTTAAAGGAGAGAAAACTTTGCGCTTGCACTATGCCAATTGTAAATCATATAACGCCGATTTTGACGGTGATGAAATGAATGCACATTTTCCACAAAATGAAATTGCAAGGAGTGAAGCATACAATATTTTGTCAGTACGTAAACAATATCTTGTACCCAAAGATGGAACACCATTGAGTGGTTTAATCCAAGATCATGTGATATCTGGTGTAAAAATGTCTCTAAGGGGTTCATTTTTCACAAAATCTGACTATCATCAGTTGGTGTTGCAAGCTTTATCAAGTCACAGAGGTGTTATCAAGCTTTTGCCACCAACTATCTTGAAACCAGTGATGCTCTGGTCAGGAAAGCAAATTTTATCAACAATCATCATCAACAGTATCCCAAAAGGCAAACCATACCTGACTTTGACAGGAAAAGCTAAAATTGGTGCCAAGGCATGGCAAAAGGAACCCCCAAGGAAATGGAAAGCAGGAGGGACTCCTTTCACAAATGATAATATGATGAGTGAGGCTGAAGTCATCATAAGAAACGGAGAGCTCTTGAGTGGAGTATTGGACAAAACTCATTATGGTGCTACACCCTATGGCTTAGTGCATTGTATGTACGAATTATATGGAGGAGACAGTTCGAGTGCGTTACTGAGCGCATTTTCGAAAGTTTTCACGTTTTACCTCCAATGGATTGGATTCACCCTTGGTGTTAAAGATATTCTAGTGGTGGAGGAATCAGATAGAAAACGTGATGATTATGTATGTCTGGTCCGACAGGCGGGAAGAGTCGCCGCTATCAAAGCTACTGAACTGCCAGCTGATGTTGACGAAGAGACACTTATCAGAACAATTGGTGAAATGCACGCAAAAGACCCTAAATTCAGAGCAAACTTGGACAGGCAATATAAAAGTATGTTGGATTCTTACACAAACAACATAAATAAAGTTTGCTTGACTGAGGGTCTATTAGAAAAGTTCCCCTACAACAACTTACAACTGATGGTGCAATCTGGTGCGAAAGGATCAACTGTAAACACCATGCAGATCTCTTGTCTGCTAGGACAAATTGAGTTAGAAGGCAAAAGGCCTCCTCTTATGATTTCTGGTCGATCTCTTCCCAGTTTTCCACCTTACGACACCTCGCCGAGAGCTGGAGGGTTCATAGACGGACGTTTCATGACTGGAATACAACCTCAGGAGTTCTTTTTCCATTGTATGGCTGGACGTGAAGGTCTTATCGATACTGCTGTCAAGACGAGTCGTTCTGGTTACTTACAGAGATGTTTGATCAAACACTTGGAAAGTCTGAACGTCGCTTACGATCACACGGTTAGAGATTCCGACGGCAGCGTCGTGCAATTCGCTTATGGAGAGGATGGTTTGGATGTGCTAAAATGTCAATATTTCAGAAAAGACCAGCTTGGTTTCTTAGACTCTAATTCTGGTGCAGTAGCCAGCAAATCTGCGATCAAAAAACTGAAGGAAGACATTGATGAAAAATCAATTGCTAAAGCTACTAAAGCATTGAAAAAGTGGAAGAAGAAAAATGGGAGTCCATTCGAAAAAGTTAGACAAAGTGGTTTCGCTATATTTTGTGAATCCGTTAAGAACGACATCAAGCTTAAAAAGAAGCCATCAGACAAAACGAGAGATCCGTACTATTGGGAGTTGGAAAAAATGTGGCGTAATTTGGATGAAGACGAAAGGCGTCAATACGAGAAAAAGTCCTGCCCTGATCCTTTGCCCAGTAAATATTCCCCTGAATATAAATTTGGCGTCTTAAATGAAAATCTGGATGGGATTATACAGAACTACTTGAAAAATCGACAGGAAAGTATATATGACAGCAACACTGACAAGGAAAAATTCTTGGAAGTTATGAAGGCTAAGTACCTTGCATCGATGGCCGCTCCTGGTGAACCAGTCGGTCTGTTAGCCGCCCAATCCATTGGAGAGCCTTCGACTCAGATGACACTGAACACTTTCCACTTCGCCGGTCGTGGTGACATGAACGTCACCCTCGGTATTCCGCGTCTCAGAGAAATCCTTATGACAGCTTCAGCAAAACTTAAGACACCTAACATGGACATACCTTTGAGAGCCGACATTCCAGGCATTAAAAAGAAAGCTGAACGTTTGAGACAAAAACTGAACAGAGTCACAGTGGCTGATGTGCTTGAGAAAATCGACGTGCAATGTGAGATAGTCACGGACCCTGATAGGTTCTTGAAAACCACAATGCGCTTCAGCTTTTTGCCGCATGCTCAATACAAGCCTCAGTATGCCGTGAAACCACCTCAGATAATAAAACATATGCAGAAAAAGTTCTTTGATGAGATGTTTGCGACCATACGTAAGCAAGTGAAAGCGTCGACGGGTGTTCTGTGGTCTGCGGAGAAAGAAAAGAGAACAAGGAAAAATGCCGATAAAGACGATGACATTGATGACGCTCCAGCACCCGAAACAGAAATGGCCAATGGCGGCGCCGACAGCTCAGACGAAGAAGGACCTAATGAAGACGACGACAATACAGATGTAAGTATGATACGTAATGTAGTTTGTTACAAAATTTTAAAAGCTAAATGACACTATCATCCTTTATTGCCAGCCTTTGTTATCATGAATTATATTTGTAATTATAATTACAAACACAGCACTACAGTGCTGTAATTATGCATAAGTAAATTATATAAAATAAGTCTAGTGACGGCCTTCTATTGCTGCTATTAACAGTACCTAACTAATATTTGCGACGTTTTGTAAAAATTCCAAGACGAATAAACTGAACAATATCACTTACGTGTACGTGTCCCGTCACTCGCGTGTAATCGTATAAACAGATGTTCATGCATACTATGTTTATTATTCCAGGCCAAAATAAGAAAGAAACGAGCTGAAGAGCAAGAATATGAAGACCCTGAATCGGAAGAAGAGGAAAAGTCTGACGACGAGTTAGAAATCGACGAAAACCCTGATAAAGAATCGGACGACGTTCAGGAAGTGCAAGAAGTACCTAAAGAAATCTCTGAAGAAGTTAATAAGACCATCAAGAGCGTTGACAACGCGACGAATTACTCTTTCGACACCAAAAACCACCAGTGGTGCGAACTAACAGTTGACTTCCCCATCGACTTCTTACGAGTCGACCTATCCCAGGCACTGCGTGATGCGGCTTCCAAATCCGTGATTTACGAAGTCAAGAACATAAAAAGAGCCATCGTCAACCAAGAAAAGGACGTCCTCTACATAAAGACAGAAGGCATCAACATTTTACAGATGTTCAAGTACAATAATCTGCTGGATATGAACAAGTTGTACAGTAACGATATCCACGCTATTGCCAATACTTATGGTATAGAAGCAGCGAATAAGGTGATCATAAAGGAGATTCAGAACGTGTTCAATGTTTATGGTATCATCGTGGATCCTAGACATTTGTCTTTAGTAGCCGACTACATGACCTTTAATGGGGTATTTGAACCAATGAGTCGGAAAGGGATGGAGTCTTCGACGTCGCCTCTACAGCAGATGTCGTTCGAATCGTCGCTGATTTTCTTGAAAGATGCCGTGATTAATGCGAAGACGGACAACTTGCGATCGGCGTCAAGTTGCCTTATGCTGGGCCAGCCGTGTCGTAGTGGAACTGGTGCTTTTAGTCTGCAATTAAGCAGTAAAATCGTAGAATAAGCATAAATGAATGTGATTTGTTAATTTGTGTAAGGACATTGATATTGTAAGTAAAATATTTTGTTTTAAATACTTCTTTTACTGAAATCTGCCTTGCTCTGTCTGTAGGCAGTGTCACATTTAATATAGATTCATTAATGTGGTCTTGATCGTCTTGTATTTGCGTATAATTATGTAAGACTTGAATCGATATCTATAACAAATGTGACACTCTCTAGTTGCATTGAGTTTTCGTTTATTAAAATAACTATTATTAAATAATGGGGATCTACTTGCAGTGTGAAATCAAACCACAGAATATATTTAAAAACACATTTTTGTATTTCTCTAATATTTCACGAGGATACAAAAACGCCATTTGATAAGTAGGAAATATTTACATCTTTGCTGTCTATGCGTCGGACGCACATTTGGGTTGTACTCCTACTCAAGGCACATAATACGTTGTCACTGATAATACAGTTTACAAATTGCAAAAATTATCAACAATCTTAAATAAAATAAGCTCAATACTACTCATTAAATAAACCATAGACAAATTATAGGACGTATAGTTTGTCTATGGCGTATCATAGCTTAGACAGAATGATCACATTAGCTCTGGGGCGTGCGGCGTCTGGTGACGTCACATATTAAATCTAACTTCATAAATAATGCGGTAATCTAAAACATACTTAAAACGACATTATCCTAATGCAACAACATCCGCTTCAAGCGAATAATTAATGGTTTTGAAACATTTCACAACACATGTTTGGCACTAACTCTGGCATAGACTAACGGGCATTGATTAAAATTAAACTATCACATCGATCAATTTTAGCATTTGCGTACCTAGGTACTTAAAATCTTGTATCTAACGAAAATGCATGACGCATACTTAGGCACACTGAGCATCGAGTCTCGTTTTACATTTCGTTTGTTTTTATAAATACCTTTTATTACAATACTCCCTTAGTCTATGATATCGTTTAGTGATTTATTTTATTATAATATCGAGGACTGCTATTATTTAATCATTTTCTATTTCACTTCGAAAAAACGCCTGTTGATTATTTTCGTATAATTCATATTACCGATTTATACTGGCTGGTTTGCCAAAAGCCTCAAGCTTTAATTTGATATTTTTATTGAATTTAAAAATATTTGAACTATATTCGAGTTACTGCAATCGGTCGACTATTTTATAAAATGCTGATAATGGCACTGTTTATAAACTGAAACTTCGGTGCGATGTACAAAATTTTAAGGTCTCACTGGTGTGCTAGGACGGTAATATTAGTTTTACATTTGGACCCGATTTTATAAATACCTACATAAAACTTTTACGCGTCTCACGCTCTCAAGCATTAAAACTAATTAAAACAATACTTGTATGGTAATTAAACAACTAATTAATAAATTAATTTAGGTAACAAGTCGTCAAAAAGTTGACCCCACAAAAGTTGCGTGTTTCTGATACAAACACAGGATTTTATCACAGCCCTCTTGATGTGCGTTTCTCATATTTTAGTGAATAGGCAAAAGACTGTCAATTGCGATCACTAGCCTAAATTACACTCGTACATCACCCCTCCTATATTGGGGATACAATATCGATCATAAATAGGATTTCCAGAAACAATTACACAGTAAATTACAGAAGAATACTTAATGAAAGTTACATTTATTGTTTTACAATTTAAGAAAAATACTAATTTTGCTAAAAGATAGCTCTAAAAGGAATCAAAGAATTAAAATTGCAGTCTTACCTACGATCGAACTAATATGGGGTCGAACAATAGACACAATTATTATCACGATTTATCTAATCGATTACACTTTTTGTATCTGTGGTGCGTTTGCAACTTTTTAAGGCCTGCTATTGGGCGGTCTCCGCTTGGTTTTGATTCTTGGCGGATTTCTTCTCGGTTCTGATCGCTTTCTTGTCGGCGGCCTTCTTCGCGTTCGCTTCGTCGTCGGCCGGGTTGTCCCATTCTTGTCTCTGGCCCGAGGCGAACAGGTTGTAGAACGTCGCGCAGAATATGTAGACACCGGCGGCGATGTAAAACACTATCCTCCATTGGGCTTGTGTTGGCTGTGAAGGAAAGTTAGGAATAAATAAATGTAATAAAATCTACTTCGAAAGTTGATGCGACCAAGAGCATTGACATTTTCAGTAAAAGGAAAAAAACAATAATTTTATTGTTGACGAAAAACTTCGCTCAATTTTAGTTTAGTTTCTACTTTCTACTCTCTTTTCAAAAATTATCTCGTTATACTAGAACAAACATATCTTTACAGTTTAGTTTTCTATTTTATTGCAGTACTTATATTTTTAGAATCTGTAACATACGTTTATAGCGACCAACAAAGCGTCATGGTGTCGCACTGGCCGAATTGAGACTATAGTTCCAAAATACTGGATTGTCCTGTCGATGACATTGACAGTGGGGCGCCACCGTCAATACCGGATCACTGGTTCAGATTTTTGCCATGTTGGAAACCATATAGTTGAACGATGGTAGCGCCCCCCTGTCATTGAGTTTGGTGGGACAGTTCAGCGTGGGTCATCTATAAAGAACGCGAGCTCGAAAATAAAATGCTGGCAGCTCTAAATTCAAATTTGAAATTGTCTATGGTTCTTACCCGTCCTTCGATGATGTACCCGGCGACGATAGGCGCTAACAGCCCCGTAAGGTTGGCCAGGCAGTTGGTGAACGCCATCAGGATCCCGGCGAAACGCGGCGAGATGTCCAAGTGGTTCACCTGGTGAATGCATTTTTAATTAGTCTGAAGTTTTAAAAGCTTGTGCGTAAATTGAGAAAAATGATTTACTTAGATGCTCTAACTAAATAATGTTACTAAAAATTATCTGCACTCATGTTAAGCAAAGGTGTTCACGAATAAAATAATGTCTCAAGTCACGAATTGTGACGGACATCGAAGAAATCTTATCCAGAAAAAAAAGAACTTCTTGGGTCTGGCAAATACCTACATTGCCAGACCAGTACCTCTAGCATGAACAACTTTCGTCTTCGAATCGTGTGCGTATTCGACAAAATTCGATCAACCTTCGAATTAAACGATAACGTGACAATTTTGATTTTCAAAATAAGTTTCGTGCAACCATTTCTCATAATAAGTTCACTTTACGACAAAAGTGCTGTTGTAGTTTTCGTACTAAATCTTGATGGGGATTCGAATACGCAAACGATTCGAACTCGAAAGTTTTTTATGCTAGCCGTACTGGTAGTACTACACTTACAGTCTATTGCAAAATAGCACCTATATCGATTAAATGAAAGTGCAAATTACCTTGAAACCGGAGTAGATACCACCGTTGAGCCCGACGCCGATGGCGAGGATGGCCACGGTAGCCGCGGGGTTGCAGCCCGTGTTCGCCGCGATGAACAGCCCGATCGCGGGGCCGTATTCACCTGGAAATAATATTATTTGTTAGATAATTCCAATGTTATCTAGAAGACATAATTCCAGCAGGCCGTACCATAAAGTCCCAAAGTTATTCGTAAGAAACAAAAAAAGACGCTGAACAAAGATTTACAACTGTGATGAGTTGAATTTCATTATTTGACCCAGTCAGAGGTTTTAAGTCAATTCTTTAGTTTATCGTTCATTGAGCATTAAGTATGTGTATTTCATAATAGGTCTAAGAAGTGCGTGTACCAAATATCAGAAATCTAAGCTAGTTTGACAATCGATTAAAATGTGCCCAGGACTTGCACCTGTATAAGAAAACTAATGCATTTCTTGAACTGGGACTGCAACTACAGCGATGAAGGCAACACGAGTAAAATTAAGAGTGGCCAGCGTCTAATCGGCTTCTACGAAGAAGGGTACCATAAAGAACATCATGTAACTCTACCACTAGAACAAGACGTGAAACCATCTGAACTATTGAAACTCCAATAGAACAAGACCTGTGGCCTAATTTACGTATTTTGACACAGTCAAAATCTCGTTGACGTTAAGAAGACAAGTTGTCCTATTAAAAACAGTTCTAAATTCGTATTCACAACGGTCATTTCGATAGAACGATTACTCGATAGGATCGCAACTCAGCGATTTGTTGTCGTTGAAGTTTTGTTACGTGAATAAGGGTACTGAAGTGATCATTGAACAAATGAAACTCACCGATGCTGTTGATGACCTTCCTGACTTGCGTGTGGTTGAGCCGGCCGCTGGACAGCATCCAGTCGGCCACCACTGAGATGAACATGGAGAACAGCCACATGCACAGGTAGGGCAGCGCTGATACGAAACCGTTCTGGAAGAGGACACGCCAATTATTCAGCAATTTATTCGATTGAACCTGTATTTTACCGTAAATATTTTACTGTAAACAATAAAATAACGTCGGTCGTTTGGTATAGTGGTGCAGAACGGACTGCCATGCCGAGAGGTCCCGGGTTCGATTCCTGGCCGGGCAGAAATTGAAATGATGAATTTTAATTTCTGTGACGGGTCTCGGTTATATGTGTAATATTTATGTATTTACAAAAAAAATAAGTATGTTTATATCCGTTGTCGTCCGTACCCATTGTACACGCTTTGCTTAGTTTGGGACTAGAGGCGCAGTGTAAAATGTCCAAGGATATTATTTATTATTATTTAGAACGGGCAGCAGCGCTCTCTGGAAAACATCAATCTTTTAAACTGCTATCTCCAACTCGCCTGCCAAGCGTGAGGATTATGGCAAAACCCTCCACTATAGTGGAGGGGGCTCATAGTCCAGCAGTGGATTGTAAAGGGCTGTTGATGGTGGTGTATTTTACTAACGAGGCATTAGCTTTGAGCTGTTATTATAAGTTACCTACTCAACGTGGCTTAAACTCCTCATTTGTTTATATTAATGGGCAGGTTCACTCGCCAGCACATCAGATCGTACATTGTTATTGCAAACTACCTACATAAAATGCAACCGTATCCAACTTTACGTGATATTTATCGTCCGTAAATAATGACTGCGCTAAAAATAGTTTAACGAGACCAGCCTGAAAGCAACAATCGCACGTGCCGAAATGTACAAACGGCGGCATATCAAGACAAAACACTGGCATTTTATGTACGCTGTAATATGTGCGATTTTTCAAATAGCGTCATTATGCTGTCAACTGTACACGAATCTCGTGCGGATTGATTTAAATGATGAATCCAATTGACCGCCGCCGACCCCGCGACCTCGGGACAGCTCACGCGACAAATGATTTATGATTTCTAATATGACGATGTATCTAGAACGTATGTGGCTAAATATAGATCGCACGCGACCGAAACGTGATGAACGTCAACTGAAAGTAGATGTGTGCGACATGGAGATTTTGAATTTGGTCGTTGGTGGTTTCGATTTTTTAATGACGTTACGTGAAATGGATCTTGATGATGACGTCTTTGGACGACGACCCGACTTGAAAGACTTGGATAAACTGAGATTATGAATCATATTTTTTTCTTGAGTAGCACCAAGCTGTGACAGCTTTCTACAAAGTTCTGTTCTTTCGTATCTCTCTTCTGATCTCTCTTTCCTTCAGGAGACTGATTCCGACTCTAATCTGCTTCTAGTCTGATACTAGAACCTCTTTTCTAACACTAAATAAATTGATTTATGTGTAAACCAAGCTGCTTGAATACTCACATCTTTGATGGAGAAGTGTAACACCTGACGCATGAAGGTGGGCAGTTCCGTCATGAGGGTCTCGTAACCGTAGTTTTGGCCCATGTGCGCCAACATGATAGCCCAGAAAGGCATCGAGCGGAGAATCTTGCTCCATGGAATGGGTGGCGACTGTAAAGCAAAAGGAGATCCTTAGAAAATGTGTTCTTGTAATTATTTTTTTCCATTTTTGCGAAATAAGATTCATACACTGGCAATATACTTCCTTCTTTATAACAGACATGTCGTCAAGAAGAGTAGTATTAATAATACCACCGCCGATCTTCTCGTAATGTCGTAAAAGACGACCAAGGGCTGATTTTATGTCGTCGAATCTTTTAACTGAAGAATAAACTTGTGATTCTGAAATAATTATTTCCCAAACTGAAACTGCCAACGTGCCAAACTTATTCTTCAGTTAAAAGTTATCCGACGATGGTAAAATCAGCCCTAAAAGGGACATACGTCTTGCCAGTGGTGCTATAAACTGAATCAAAACGATGAAATGTTCTTAATCATTTTACTTACGCTAGAACCAGCAGCGCCCCATAGTGAGCTGACGATGTACTTCCTCTCGGCCTCCTTGATGCTCTTGCACTGCTCCGGATCCTCGGATACGAGGAAGAGGAACGCGAGGCACCACACGGTGCCGATGAGGCCGAACACGTAGAAGATAGAGGGCCAACCTCCAGAGAAACCGTAGGCAGAGAGCAGCCCCGATAGAGGCATCGAAATCACCGTACCGAATTGGGCACCTGCAAGTTTAGTTTAGAATTAGAAGATGGCAAAGATATAGCTCGTTTCATCCACGAAGACTCGCCCTACCATTCTTCCACTAATGTTTGAGTGTTATCGGTACACGCTAAATTAATCATGAGTGCACGCGCACAATAATGACGCTCGGATTGCTCGGATCAAACTCCCCGCACCTCACGCTTCCCACAAACAAAAATCGATGGGGCGCGTCTTCGTGGTTGAAACGATCTATTGGTACTCGTAGCTGTATTGGTTGACGTTGATAAAACATTTGGATTGATAGATCTTTGAAAATGGTCAATTGAAAACAATTAATCAGAATGAAAAAGACGAATAAGAGCCAATACATATGTCAGTGGCATAATAAATTATAATCATCTGGCATAAAATGGATGCTTGATATCAAGCATAAGAACGATTACATATTATTATACGAGTAGGTACATACTGCGGAAAATGAAAATTATTATTGACCTACAGACTTATTAACTTACCGGCATAGACAGCTGCACCCATTCTACTCCTTTCGTTGGGCGGAATCCATTTGGCCAACATAGCGTGAGAGCAGGGTACGATTGGTCCCTAGAAAACATTCAACAATCAAAACTCACATTCAATATATTATGTTTTTATGAGCTACTTCTATGACCTGATGATGAAGAGCTTATAAAATGTTCTCACCTCTCCCAGACCCTGGATGAATCGCACTAATATAAGCCACCCGAAGCCAGCCTCAGCTGCTACTGGTACCAGGAGACCGAAGACCGAATTGACCAACATTCCGATTCCAAGGAACAGCCTGGCTCCATACCTGTGAATAAATTTGCATTGTTTAATTCAAAGAGGATATATTAGTATTTTGTAAACCACTAATAAGTCCCGTAAACCCCTCACCATGCTAAGATGCGTTTCGTGCTTGTGTTACGAGTGGGGTCACTACAATAGTGCAGCGGTGGCGCGGTTTTAAACTAGTGTTCACTAAGCTCATAGTTTCTTAAAGGGGATAAAACATCGAATGATGGAAGAGATCTACTTCTACATTTATAGTCTATCTTTCAGAAGTTTATAGCGACGATTTATTTATTCGTCAGTCTGGTGACGTGATGTGATGTAACCCCTTATCACAAGGACCTTCGTTGATGTATTGTTCAGTCTAGTTTACAAAGTTTTTTAGCCATGGCCTTGGCATATCAATGTTTACAATTATGTCTGTGTTGATACTCGACAACAATGTTTATGGCTTCCGGCGACTACACCATGATTGATAATAATTACCAAGAACAACAACAATGGTCAACAATAGATAGGTGTGGAAAACTAGGGGTATTGTAGGTGGTAGTGATATTTAATACTTTTCCATGAATGTGCGTAATCTTCTGAAACTTAAAGTACGCAGTTCTTGAAAAAACTACAAAAACTTTGAAAAATTAGAACCATTCCACCAGTCTAGAAAGCTAGGGTGACCATAGACTAGAGATGAAACGGATATCCGGTAACTATCCGGTAGGCCGGATATCCGGCCTAAATTTACTATCCGGCCGGATACCGGATAGTAACTCACTATCCGGCCGGATACCGGATATTAAAAAACTACGACAATATCCTATTAATAAAATGAAATACATTAAATCTTTGGGGTAAATAAATATCAATAAAATGGCTTATAATAATGACGGCTTTTATTAAAAGTCCAAAAAGTTACAAAAAAGCCATATTAAGGCCTTTCAAAAAACTAATTTCTTTTTCTGGGCTATTATCTCTAATGACGAATACATAAATGGTAAATATCTGTTAATGTCAAAATATTGCCAAATAAATTTTCCCTATTCAATCACACACTCACGATGGCAACCAAAATCGCCCGAATTAATCTGCCCCCTAGACAAGTGGCAAAATCTGACATTCTATTCGGATGAATTCGATTTTCGAAAAGTGACTAGTCTAGTCTACTAATAGACCCACTGATCGCGTTCGAAACACCTGTGCGGCGCTAAACTCGTCACGACATGCAACGAGACAATGGGCCAACTATCCGGCCGCCGGATATCCGGCTATCCGGCCTAGCAGCTGGCCGGATATCCGGTATCCGGTATCCGGCCAAACAACTATCCGTTTCATCACTACCATAGACAATCAAAAGCCAAGAAGCCTAAAATAAGTATAGCTAAAAAAGGACTAAAATACGATAGCTCTCCTGCCTACCTCTTGGACAATATCCCAAAGGGAATTTGCGTTATCACGTATCCATAGAAGAATGAGGACAGGATGTAGCCTTGTAACGTGGACGTCCACACGTAGGATCCATCTTGTGAAGCTGCATCCTGCAAAAGAAGAACAAATGTTACCTTTTTGAACTAACATGCATACTATGTACATTGTACGAGTATTATTCGTTTATTATTATTATTTGCTGGCATGGCATGGCTCACCTGATTAGGAAGTTGCGATAATGTTCAATACCTTTTTTGTTTCTGTCTTGAATGTTACTACCACCACTACCTAGTTATACAGGGTGGCCAAAACAGTGAGGTCTAAAAGAAAAATTTAGATTCCTTACATCAAGGTGTACCTAAATCACCCCCATGTATGTAATACGATTGTGCTTAGTTTAGGAGATAGAGTTAATTTTGTGATATTTTAAAATTTTGTGACCTAGTAGGCTTTAAAAATGTTTATCTTTTTTTTGGGGTGACTTTTCTCAGATTTCTTTTTTTCGACAGATTTGTTATTAATTGCAGATGTTTGAAAAAAATAATCACCTTCCTATCTTTGATTCAAGGTACAAAAGTTTTGCTAGAAACATTAAAATTATGCTTTTATCAGAACACTATCAAATATTCAACTTAAAAGTTTAAGTAAAATAAGAACTTCCATAGGTCCAAAACCATTTTAAAAACTGCGCCGTTTCCTGAACATTCATAATAATACAAAAAAACATGTACTTAATGGGCCACTATTTCCTGTAATCGGTCCACTAAAGTGGTAAGTCGGAGATTCTGTTACATGTTTTTGACTTTCTTAGAGTGAATTAATATTGGGAATCCTCTAAGTTTACATTACGTAGAACAGATTTAGAGCAGTAACTGGATAGAACATGTTTTTATTCTCAACAAGGAAGGTCTTGCCCTTCATCACACCTGGTGGAAACTGATGATTAGGCTGAAGGTGGAAGGGAACTTCAACTACAGAGGAACTATGGCTTCCTACCTCCAAATTCTGGAACACATTGTTATTTTAAGTAAGTTTTAATGAACATAAACCAAATATCCCTCCTTCTTCTTCTCACTGTAGTAGGTATTTCAAGGGTAACAGTAAAATGTAAAAACTGCCTCTGTCTTAAAGTGGTAAGAGGTAAGTTTCAGAGGTCCCGGGTTCGATTCCCAGTGGAGGTGAAATTTTCTGCTCGGTTTGGTTGGCGGTAGGGTTTGATCTAAGTCTGCCTGGCTAGCAACTCTATTTTCCTAAGTCTGTCACTATAACAATAATGTTAATAGCATTACTGTATTCCGGCATTTGGAGGTAGGAAGCTATAGTTCCTCTGTAGTTGAAGTTCCCTTCCACCTTCAGCCTAATCATTAGTTTAAGCCAGGTGTGATGAAGGGCAAGAGCTTCCTTGTTGAGAATAAAAACATGTTCTGTCCAGTTACTGCTCTAAATCTGTTCTACGTAATGTAAACTTAGAGGATTCCCAATATTAATTCACTCTAAGAAAGTCAAAAACATGTAACGGAATCTCCGACTTACCACTTTTGTGGACCGATTACAGGAAATAGTGGCCCATTAAGTATCTACACGTTTTTTTGTATTATTATGAATGTTCAGGAAACGGCGCAGTTTTTAAAATGATTTTGGACCTATGGAAGTTCTTTTTTTTACCTTAACTTTTAAGTTGAAAATTTGATAGTATTCTGATAAAATCATAATTTTAATGTTTCTAGCAAAACTTTTGTATCTTGAATCAAAGATAGGAAGGTGATTATTTTTTTCAAACATCTGCAATTAATAACAAATCTTTCAAAAAAATAAAAATGTTTAAAGCCTACTAGGTCATAAAATTTTAAAATATCACAAAATTAACTCTATCTCCTAAACTAAGCACAATCGTATTATATACATGGGGGTGATTTAGGTACACCTTGATGTAAGGAATCTAAATTTTTCTTTTAGACCTCACTGTTTTGGCCACCCTGTATGTTATCTGTGCTACTACTACTGAAGAAATAGGTAAGTACTAGGTACTTATAGTAAATTATTTTTCATTAAATTAAGATTATTATGAACAGTAAATCATGTGCCAACTCTGAAATATTTTAAGCTCGCGTTGGAAAAACAAATTAAGATCATAATAAACATGTAATTTGATGTAAAAATTTCCTCTTTTAGATCACCGAATGCAGCTGTGCTGTGCTATTTTAGAATAATTTCGCAAGCAGCAGATTTGAATTTTATTTTTAATACTTTCTAATATGAAAAACGTGAATGCGTCTATTCTATATTTGCCATTGCATAATATTACTCCAGACAGTCAATAACAACTCTTATGTTTATTTTTACTGATTTTAAAATATCTTTTGAAAACTATAACACTACCTATTTCCGTCTTACTAAGGCTAAGTTGCACCACCTAACTTTGACGGTAACTATGACGATAACCGGTGCTTTTTGTATGGAGTTTGACAGATTTTTGACGTTTGTAAAAGTTAAAGTAAGATGGTGCAACCCACCCTAAGTGCACTTCGCTAATTTTAACATTTGCCGTTACATCCTCGCATTAACTTCATTAAAAGTAGGTATACCTACTGTAGAAAATAGCAATTTTCCGAAGTCGATTATTATTATGCCCCCAGTCCAAAAGCCAAAGATTTCCAACAGGCTCTAGATTCTGGGGCCTTTTGGAAATGATATAGGTACCTGTCAATACCCAAATCTAACGTAGTCTTTTGACAGGTAAGATAAATATTATGACTCACACCCATAGTCCCCAGATAACGCATCTTGTTAGACAAGCCGTGACCTTGGACTGAGCGCGGCCTTGGCAGAGACGTTCTATCAAGCACGTTGACTTAAAACAATGCAGATGCTGTTAGCTGTTAATTTCACTATCTAGGGTAATTTGAATTAGTCACTTTCAAGAAATCTATGCGACGCTGAAATTAGCAAAGATTCGAGATTGTGATTAACTGAATTTCAGCTATGCAGTTTCAGGCTTAAATCTTTTCATGATCATACTTCAGTGAGTGGCATTTTTGAAAACAGGCCTCCTACCTTCATAGCCCTCATTGGGTCCCTGTTACCTATTCCACTATAAGTATAAGTAAACCATTAATGAATGTAGCGCATTACTTACTTTGTCTAGTAGTAAAACTTATATTATCTGTGGTAAAACCATAAAGTTAATATTAGGTATATTAAACTTTATGTGTAAATCTTAGACTTAGGCCGAACTTCAACTCGGACTCTACATTACGTTTTATAGACGACTGACACAAGTTAATTGATGGAACAAACAATTAGCCTAGGCGCAGATCACCGACTTTGAGTTGGCTGATAGTTTAGTCGGGCTGTTAATCAGTAGTCTGCGCCTAGGCTAACAGTCGGTAGTCTTTTTTTATGTGACAGGAGGCAAACGAGCAGACGGATCACCTGATGGTAAGTGATTACCGTCGCCCATAGACACCCGTAGTCCCAGGGGCGTTACAGGTGCGATGCCGACCTTTAAGGTGAAGATACACTCTCTTTCTTTAAGGTGAAGTCTGCGCCTAGGCAATCTTAAATAGTCTTGACTGACAATATTTTTACTCACACTGGTTTTATTCCCGACGTCCCCGCACTCTGTGTCTATGGCCTCGTGCGCCACGGGCAGCGCCGTGTGGTTGACCATGGCCACGATGGCCACGGACATATTTGTGCGCATGATGTAGGCATTGGCCATGCCAAGGAACAGCATGAACGTCACGAAGTGCCGCCTGCCCAGCCCACCTGTGAGACAAACGAGAAAGGCATTAATTAAAAGGCTCACTAATTGTTTTAACTGTGGGAACCTATAAGTGGTTTACCTGTTGCCTAACTTGTCATTATTATACACTGTAAAACCCTGGTTTTCCTAAATAAATAAGTAAATTATAGTTATAGTAAAATTATCACAAACGTGGACTTGCCGAAACTACTGCGCTGCGTGGTTAAATAAAGGACTACTTCCCATGGATTTCGTAAAGGGCAACTAAGGCTAGGCCAAATCCTCCATTTGCCTCTGGCGAGGGTAGCACTCCTGTAGTGGATGCCAAATGATGATTATTATTCATGTACACGATGCCAATTACTCGTTAAGTGCTGTTTTGCAAAATAAACGACTGATTTGCTTGTACCTGGAACAGGTACTTAAATTACATCTAGGTAGATACTATAGTTCTATGACTCTACATCAAACCCAAATGCTAGATTAGCCTAGGCGCAGACCACCGACTTTAAGTTGCCGATAGTTGGTTCGGGCTGTTAATCAGTATGGACATGTAGTTATGAAAGTGCGCACATTACACCGATTTGGTATTGGCCGATTCTTCATACAAATTGGAAACGGGCCCACCAACTATCGGCAAACTAAAAGTCGGTGGTCTGCGCCTAGGCTAAAGGTGCTCAATATAGAGGCTTAAAAACTGTCATTTTTTCCGTGGTTACTGGTCATTGTTTTTAGTTTTCCCCGCCACCAATGAACGATGATCTCAGCACGACTGTATTTGCAAATGTTTGTCAGATAGATAAAAAGAGATAACTTTGTAAGTACTAAGTCAATAATTGCTTTCGTTTGTGACTCATTATGGGTAATTCGTGCAATCAGTTCCTATGTAAATAAAGATAAATAAAGCATCGTTTTAACACAGCCGGCCTGTTCAATGGCGGTCTCATTGGTGTTATCTGAAAGCTCTTAAAAACGGATAAAAGCTTACAAGTACACATCACTCTGTTTTACGGCAGTACGTAAAAATCTAAAATTGGATTAGGCGTCAAAGGAAAGTGGAACTTATGAGTTAGCAACTTAGCACAAATAAACGAGGATTTTTTGAATTTTGATTCCGGGGGAAGTTCGCTTCCACCTTTAGAATGATCATCACTTTCCATCAGGCGAGATGCAGGCCAAGAGCCTTTCCGTTGTGGGGAAAAATTGAAGAACGTTTTATATTTTTAAAGTTCAGATACATCCTAAAATAAATCAGACTCCTTGCGGTCAATCAAGACTTTTAAATGCACCATCAACATTAATCAAGGAGTGTAATTAGAATTCTAATGTACTACAGCCATCATCTCATCATTCAGATTGTAGATAACAGACATGGGCGTCTTGGCATTGCCAAAGCTACGCTCAGCCAATATGTCAATTGCGCCAATCGCCAGGACGGTAAATAAACAATTTTGACGAGCATTACTAGAATTTAGTAAATTATACACGTGTGGCAACATTACTCAATTTACTGTGCAGCAATTAATATTGCTACATAAATATTTTCATTAAACAGTTTTCCGTGAATATAAATAGTTCGACTACCCTGAGTCAATGAGATGAAACGGTATAAAGGATATTTCCTCTTGTTTAAATAAATTATTGCTTTTTTTTGTTTTTTTTTTATTAAATGGTTTTTTTTTTTATTATATTTTTTTAAATTTCTTTTTTGAAGAACATAGAGGTTGAAAACTCATAAAACTCATTTATTTCTGTAAGTAGGCTTTAAAAAAGCACTTTTACACGTCCCAGTATTAACCCTACCACTGCTTCAGGACAATAAATGGGCCAGTGCTGAGAAGAAGCAGCGCAAGAAACTCAGACACTATTAGTTGTTTAGCCACAGAATAATAAAAAGTACTGTTTAGCTTTTAAATTGTTTTGCTTCTTTTTCATTCGGTTTGTCCTAATTCTGGCATGGAACCGGTTTGGTTAGTTCAAACTTATCAAATAGATTTTTATTGAGAATCCTCGGGGAGTCTACTGAAAAAAACCGCTGTTCATGAGAATTGTTGCCAAAAAAATGGTATTTTTAAAAATAGCTGTCACAAATGGCCAGACGAGTCTGACACGGTCTATGAACACCTGAGGTCATCGGCCGCTTAAAATACTTTTTGGAAAGTTCCAAAACTATTGTTCGCGAAACATTATCCTTTCTGTGGTTTCTCGTGATTCATGTTTCAGAGTGGTTTTTATGTTTTAGAGTGGTTTTTGGATCTGGACAAGAAATGGCATTCAATTTTCACAAGTATTGTCGATAGGCGGTACAAAAACCAAATTGAGTTCATTTTCAACTTATTCGAATACATTTTCAGTCCTGTAACTATCAAATTATCAATTTTACAAAGTATTCATAAATGCTTAGTAAGTATGCTTAGAGCATATTTTGTATCTTGGTGACATAAGTTTCTAAAATATTAGGTAGTTCCAACTTCAAACTGAAAAAAACTAAGTTTACTAATTAGTTTAATAGTCCAATAGATTGTCCAAGTCCAAGTCCAAGTGATTAATTAATCTGTTGCCCTTGTTAAAGTTTGGTTTCCTTGAAAAACATAATATTAACATCAAAAATCTTTACCTACTTTTTAACGTTATTGATCATTAAATGTTTGTACAGAGATTATCTAAAAAGGGAGATTGTATTCAACGGTTAGTCTCACTAATATTATAAAGAAGAAATATTTGACTGTTTGTTGGACTGCAAGCTACTGGACGATTTGAAAAATTCGTCCACCATTACAAATTAGAAACCTTCAAGAACATAGACGGTACAAAGTGCGCAAAAGATATCAAGACAATGAGGGCTATCGTTTTAGCGCTCACCAGTTGGCGCCACTGTAGAGTAAGGTCCTGTCGCTTGCTAGTCGCGAAGACAGTGGCGCCAACTTGTGAGCGCTAAAGTGGTAGGAGGACTATCGCATTTGCACTCATCAAGATGGCGCCACTGTAGAGTAATGTCACGGTAATAGTATCTATACAGTATTCCAACTCGGCCATATTTTTCAAATAAATGTCAACAGCCGCGCGGTACGTCACGGTATGACTATGACAACATGCGATAGGGCTGCCCACCTGCCTGAAAATGAAAATGAAAATGAAAATGAAAATGAAAAATATTTTATTGACACTTAGTACGAATGTTACAAGTAGTTGAGGAATTCCTCTCTTTAAGTTTAAGTAACCTGTATTGAGAGGAATCCACTCATTCGTTACATCCATAGATGTTCTAAACTTACATTATGAAAATATTACCCACTTAATAACAAACACACTGCATACCCTATTTTCATTACATCTGCCTACTAATAATTTTTATCTAATTTTGTGATTGTAATTTTTAATTTTATTTTAAAAACAAAATACTTCGTGAATGAAATAGAATAAAAATGCATGTTGTTTTGTGATTAGTAGATTTCATTTGAAAAATATATTTGTAAGTATATGATTTAGTAACAAATCTTATAAACCGACCGCAAAATGTATGCGTCTCGACTGAGGCGTACAAAACAAAATGCTTGATTATTATACAGGGTGTTAGGTAAATGGGTTTATAAGCCGACACTAGCCCATGTTAACATGTGCATATAAATGGTATGGTGAAGTCAGAAAATTGATATCATCATTTTATTAATTTGAATTTTATTACAAATCTGATTTTATAAATTTTATTTTGTATGGAAATTAAAAAAAAATTATGATGATATCACTGACTTCACCATACTATTTATATGCATATGTTGACATGGGCTAGTGTCGGCTTATAAACCCATTTACCTAACACTCTGTAGGTATAAATAGGTACTTATAATTATTTTTATAAAAAAAGAGCCCTTACTGTTTAAAAACAACACATCGTCCGTTTATTGCAGTGGCACATTCGCGACACCCCCGACTTTTGCATGTCGAGCGCATACCGAGATTTGAATTTCGAAGGAATTCTCGCGTTTCGTCCGTTTATATGAAGTTACAATACTGTATGATAATATTACCGTGGTAATGTCCTGTCAATCGCCAGGGGTGCCAACTGTTAAGTATAAAAACGATAGCCCTCATTTTGTTGTTTTATTAGGACAATAATTATTGTTTTTATCTGGACGTGGAAGCAATCTCGATTTGTTATTCTAATAAAGGCGTCCGAGTTCGTGCATTTGAAATGCTTCGCTCGTCACTGCAGGGTTTCACTCTGTCGTCTCGTGACTTCAGGAAGTTTCTTTCTACGATTTTCTTTGTGAAGTTAATGAAATAAAAACAAAGTTTATTATACTTTTATGTGTGCTTAGATAAAACTTTCACAGTAAAAGCTTTTACGAGTTCCTAACTATTCATGAAATAAATGGGTAACGTGGTTTACGCAATAACTAAAGATCATCAAAACTACCCGATTCATGAAATAACATGCTCATTATCCTTATAATGCCATGAATTGAACAGTCCTCATACAGTTACTTTATAAGAATTATTACGAAACAGAAACGTGCGGACGTCACAATCTATTTTCAGCACTTCCGAACTTTTGACGTAGAGCGCCGGTTTTTCTTTAATAAAGATAGTCCCTGATGAGTAACATTGACGTTACTTTACGCAATAAGGTCGCTCGTTGCCTTGAGGGTCATCGTGACTACGACACTGCTTACTCGTAGACGAAATCACGTTTCGTCATGCATCTTAGAAATTTTCCTATTTTCCCTTTATCCCTATGTTACTCATCACCCTATTAAAGTCATAACGTAACTACATAGGTTAAATTGGTTTTTGTTGTAAAATGAATGCATTTTAATAATCTACATGTCATTGCCAGCTAAAAGTACGTTTCTATTGATGCAAAGAGACGCGCCAAACGAAGTGCTTTTTCATAAATTCCACTTGTCCTGGTTACTGAAATAAATAAGTATGCCAACGAATTTTAAATATGAAAAGCTTGCTACGGATCTTGGCGTAGGCTTTACATAATTAGACACTCTCTACCGGAAAATACCATACCATT